TTTAAATAGAAATTCAATTTTTGTTTTCTAATTTTTTTGTTAGAATTTAATTTTTCAATTTTTTTAATTTCTATCAGCTATCTTAGGATACATCCTTATTATTTTATGCCAAGAAATTTTATATATATAAAATACACAAAAATACATTTTTGGTGTATTTTCAATTATAACATTACATAATTTATAAAAAACTCAAATTTCACTATTTAATGAATTTATAATTTTTATTATTCAATATTAATAAATTATATATTAAGTCATAATTTATAATGACATAAATATATGTACATAAACAACAATATGTCAGGAGGGCAATACATATCCATTATATTGTGCCCTCCTTCTGTAATATTAATAACAACATCAATTACTAATATAATTCTTATTTTCTTAATTATATATATAGAAAAACATTTATTTATTACTATATACAAATTATGTTCTTAGAATCTGAAAGATTCAGATGCATTGTATCTAAAAATAAATAAAAATTATCATTGATTATTATACTACAGAATCACCTACAAGTAGGTTAAAAGCTTCTAGTAGGGAGCTGATTCTGTTACACAAGAATTTATATTTTTATCTTTTTTATAAAAATTATTTTTTAAACTTTATTTTTATCAGATGTCAAAAATTATTATGTAATCATTTTTGATAAGATGTGAAAATTAAAAATAAAAGAAATATAATTCTAAGGTTCATATGAACCTCTAAAAAAACATAGAAATCATTGATTTTAAATGTTTTTGTATATATATAACTAAGTAAATAATAAGAAAAGCCTGTAAGGGTTCTGTTCTTGTTGTTGTAATAAATAGTAGTAGTAGTGGTGTTATAGTATGAAAAAACTAAGTTATAATTTAATATTTAAGTAAATATAAGTGAATATATTAATTTTAGTTCACAAAAATATTTATTGTTATTGTTTATTCTCCTTTCATATCCTTCGTCCATTCTCTTCTCCTTCAACCTTGTAACAAATTCTATGCCTTTTTTGAACATCAATAATGAGGTAGACTTTAGGATGCCCTCTTATTCATCTACCGCATCTGGTGTAGGAGGCGTTGTAGAGGAGCTTGCTTCAGCAGGCACATCATACTTCTGTTGCCACTCCTTATTGCGATCTTTCACCCAGCCAATCGCGGTCTCTAAGGTGCTCAATGATGCACCTTGAGCTACTAACTGTTCCAGATATTGGTACTAGGGATCCGCACGGTTCGGTTCGGTTTGGTTTTTGAAGGGAACTGAACCGAACCGTCTAAAGCAAGAACCAAACCGACTGGAACCGACGAGAACCGAAGAACCGAACCCATCATGTATATAAAAAAGGCAAGATTCAGTATCTTTATATGAAAGCTGATGTGTGTGTTCAAATGTCGCGGTATACTTGAATACTGCAGTAAAAAAGAATAGTTTATTATTGTACATTGAACAGCGATCTCAAAATGAATAAGAGAAACAGAATATAAACATTCTTATACGGTGTGGGTCATTGCATGGTTAAAAGATTAAAGCACAGTTTTTACAAGAAAAAGTGGAGCATGTAGTATTTACTTAGAGCGACTTAGTATTACTAGTACAATATGTTATCGTAACATTGGAGGAATTGAACCACAACCGGCAGTACATACAGCTGCTGTGTCTCTACGTGTGTATAGTGTATAGTGTCTCATAAAAGGCAAAGGGTGAATGGGTAAGATAATTCTGTTATGGGCCCCAGGATGCGCAATCTCAGACAGAAAGCACAAACTTGATAAAACTGATCGAGAATCCATGCTTTATCTAGTACGTCATGGAGAAAATGCGTTGTGGGTAGCATAGTAGAGGAACAAGTAATGATGCGCGTCATAGGCAGAGAAAGCAAGCTGCCGTCAAAAGAAGTGTTTTTTTTTGTTCTTCTCTTCTTTACTATTTTTCCCTCCCTTCTGCTTTTGTAGGTTTTGTTGAGTTTTTGAATAAAGTATGGCTTGCAGATACACTACTTCTTGGTCTTTTCGGAATAACATTGTTCGTAACTTCCGTTATAGCCTATTTTCTATACTTATTACCGAAATTGCTAAATGCAATCTTCTGCCTCTCGGTTCTTCGGTTCTACGGTTCTGATATAGATCCCTACTCAAAACCATGTCATGCAACAGTTCATCATTGAGCACAATGGGGTGATCTATTTAAATAAATTAAAATTATGAAGGAAAGATAAAAAAAATTGAATAAAACAAATATATTTTTGGAATGTTAGATATTTTTTAAAGAAATTTTTTTGAAACATTATAAGTAGGGATCCATATCAGAAGCGTAGAACCGGAACCGAACCAAACTGAAGCCATGAAAATATGTATATGTAGAACCGAAGAACCGAGAGGCAGAAGATTGCATTTAGCAATTTCGGTAATAAGTATAGAAAATAGGCTATAATGGAAGTTACGACCAATGTTATTCCGAAAAGACCAAGAAGTAGTGTATCTGCAAGCCATACTTTATTCAAAAACTCAACAAAACCTACAAAAGCAGAAGGGAGGGAAAAATAGTAAAGAAGAGAAGAACAAAATAAACACTTCTTTTGACAGCAGCTTGCTTTCTCTGCCTATGACGCGCATCATTACTTGTTCCTCTACTATGCTACCCACAACGCATTTTCTCCATGACGTACTAGATAAAGCATGGATTCTCGATCAGTTTTATCAAGTTTGTGCTTTCTGTCTGAGATTGCGCATCCTGGGGCCCATAACAGAATTATCTTACCCATTCACCCTTTGCCTTTTATGAGACACTATACACTATACACACGTAGAGACACAGCAGCTGTATGTACTGCCGGTTGTGGTTCAATTCCTCCAATATTACGATAACATATTGTACTAGTAATACTACGTCGCTCTAAGTACTATAAGCTCCACTTCTTTTTTGTAAAAACTGTGCTTTAATCTTTTAACCATGCAATGACCCACATCGTATTCTCTTATTCATTTTGAGATCGCTGTTCAATGTACAATAATAAACTATTCTTTTTTACTGCAGTATTCAAGTATACCGCGATATTTAACACACACACATCAGCTTTCACTCAAAGATACCAGATTTTGCCTTTTTTATATACATGACAGGCTCGGTTCTTCGGTTCGATTCTTCACTTCTACGGTTCTCGTCGGTTCTAGTCGGTTCGGTTCTTGCTTTGGACGGTTCGGTTCGGTTCCCTTCAAGAACCGAACCGAACCGAACCGTGCGGATCCCTAATTATAAGTGTCATTAGTCAATATAAACTGGTGGAATAGTAATAGGCACCCTTTTATATGAGGAATACTAGGACGCCAAATATTTAATAGAATAATGTAATAATAAAATTAATTTACTGTTTACAGTAAAATTAATTGTTATGGATCAACCCCTCTATCGCTAGGGAAGACACTATATGCAACATTATCCCTTATATGCCTTTGTTCCACCATTTTAACAAGCTAATGGCTGTTAGTTCTCTACCTCGAAGTCTCTCTTCCTGCCCTTATCCATTTTTATTAGCTTGCGACTTTTGCCCCTTTGAAAAACAACAGCTTCATCTTCCCTACAGCAAAAGTGTTCGAAAATGGAGTGGAAAGCGCAACACTAGCTCATCTTCGCTATGAAGACAAAGCCCGAGGAAACTGAGGTGGCCCATAGTTTCCTGAGCCCATTTTACTCCACCATGCAGTTCCTAGGGAAAAAAGCAATTGACATCGTATATATTATATTCATCGTCTTTGTTGTAAGAGGGTTTGTTGTAAGAGAGGAAACTGATGGTAACTAAAAAATGCCTGCTTGGTAATAGGAAGACGAATATAGAGTTCATGCAACATGAATTTGGTACCTGCCATTAGATAAATTTCAATTTCGTATGACATAAATGTGTTAGATAGCAGAGCCGTATAACTATCACACCCAGCGGAAAAATACTTTCAGTGAAGAGACTCCCTTCAAGCTGACGCCTACTGGGCACATATTTTCGACTAAAGACCGTTTATACTAGCACTCATCATAGATAGAGCCCATCGCCTGGTTAAAAACCGATATGCTGAAAATCATCTGCCTCAAACTATGTAATCACCACTAAAGTTTCTTTTTTCTTCTTTCCACCCCTAAAAGTGACGTGGTCTGAAACAAAACTCGACGCTTCACAGTGCGCCTAAAAAAATCCCTTCAAGCTGACTCCCACCATAACGGGGATCACAATAGCTATTTTTTCACCTATAGGGAACTTTGCTACATCAGGAGAACAGCGACCATTGACGGGGAGTGTGGTGGGGAAAACACAGTACAATCAACAAGTTAACGGGAGTAAAGCGAGAGATGTGATTGGCACCCGCTGATGAATCCGCTGGTTTTCGATTGTAATGTTTTCTTACGATTGTATGTTCCCTCCTGAAAAAGTCAATGTAGGCTAAGCGGAGCTTGTCAAGTCTAGATCATGCTGTCATCAGACCCACTCTTTTTGTCTTGGTAACAATAAGGTTTAAGCATGGCGAAAAAGAAGAACACTAGTTGTTTGATCTGCAATTGCAGTGCATTGGATGCGTCATGGCTATACGTTTGGCGATGGAGCTGCCCCAATCACTACTCTGCACCACTTTTTTTTCGAGCGTATTGTGTTTCAACATATGCATTGAGAGAGAAATAACAAATTAGTGGTCAAAAAACATGAAGCAATTTTACCAAACTGAATACATGATATCATATTCATTATACCCAAGCTTGGACATGAGCTCATGCATGTTACCGCCGTTCTTAGCAATATCGTGACCAGGTAATTTAGGTGCTTCTGAGAAACCAAAGCCAGGTAAGCTAGGGACCACGACATTGAAAACCTGTTTTCCATAGTTGCTACAATAGGTTAGCAAGGCTAATAATATTGACCTCTGCTTGGTGTTGGGAAAACATGCATGTAACAAATAAAGTTGGATGGTACTGTTCATGCTAGCTGTCCTCCGCGCACACCGTCTCGAAGCGTTTTGATCACCTTGTGGTATTCATGGAAAATTGGAGGGCCAGCCATTGATCAAGACGAGGGGAACAGCGCCACCAGGTTGACTGGACGGTTCGTGGACAAAGTGAAGACGTAAATCTTGAATCGTAACTTGATAATGATGCCAGCGATTCAGTTCGGCGCGCGGCTTTTCCCAGTCGTAGTTGTTGAACCAGTAATTAACATACGGCTTCACAGCCCATCGGTATGCCTCGTACTTCCAACCAACTTCTCTTTCGAGCTCGTCAGGATATTCGGCGTTTCTGAGCCTTTCTTTTAACCGAGGAAAGACGCTCAGGTAGGATTGAAGAGATTTCATAAGATTCGATAGACATGTTCTGTAAATAAAAAAAGAAAAAGGAGCAAGGAAATGAGAAACAATCTGTGAATATATTTTATGCCTTCAATCGTGGCTGCGAATTACTTAACTGGGCTGTTGCCCTTTGATCATCTGATTGATCAGCGTTAAGCGTATATTCCGTTTTATCGTGCATACCTTCCTGAACCCAATCATCGATACAACATTCTGCATGGCTGGTTTGCTCCAGAGTGCTCATCTGGTAAGGTACGAGTCGCGTATGAATTTGTAGCTTCTAACTAATGGAAGTCGCTAATTGCGCTGGTAGTACCATACTACACTATGAGCTCGTCTACAAGAAATCGCAGAAGTTTGTTTGCGACCCACACTCAACTGCAACCTTTATTGAAGCATAACTACAGCACTGCGTAGGAGCTCCGATAAGCTCTTAAACCATATGTGAATAAAGCTACTATAAGGAAAGCAACCCATCATTACATGCGCTATGCCTCCGGCTATTGATAGGCAATAGATAAAGTCTCGATTCGTAGCCTTTTGTACTTTGATCCTGTTGTTTTCCCGTCTTACTACTGTACGTAAGGGAGAGGATTGTTTTGCCACAACAGAAGCCGAAACACCACTTCAGAAACAAAAGTTTCATGATTGTGCTGCCTTCGACACTATCTTTTGAAAGGTAAAATATTATTATGAAGATGATAAAATGAGGTGGTGACCAATAGTAATACATACCACGTATCTGACCGACTTAATGATTCGCTACCACAATAGTCGTAAGTCCATCTATCTATTGGTTGTTAAGTGCTGCAACTAAAACAAATTCATAGTACGAAGTCAATTTACCCCTCTATAGGCCTCTTTACTATATCTTGACAATACTTCTATAAGCAGTAAAACAAATCAATGTTTCCATGAATTTAAAAGCAATGTCAGACATGCTTTTATGCAACAATTTTTGGTTACTACTGTACATACCGAATGTAGGTTGTGTGTAATCATTGCTATTATCTTAAATTATCCCTAAACATAATAAGAAAATGCGCTTACATACGGCGACGAGCGTCGGAAAAATAGAAGAGCAGTTGAGCCCACTACTGCTTTGCATACATTGAATGTTTTCGCTTTGTGTACGTGCGGAGGAGAGCTTTCTATGATTGGCCTGTCGGCTGGCGTTTAATAAATGAAACGTTGCAAAAAGTCATTACTTCGGACGTAGAAATAAAACTCCTTGGCGTCATTTTGAAATTTTCCAAACCGCCTCGCTCTTTCTTTTATCTCTTTCCCGTATTCTGCTTTGAAAAAAACAATGACTGTCAGTGTAATACTAGAGCCCTCATTCCAAACATACTGCGATGGCGAAAAAAAGAATCGTGAAGCGTTGGTAAATGCTCCTACGATCCCAGAAGTGCGCGAGAATGCCGAGAAAATGCACGCCGCACATCAGTTCGTTGATATCATTGAACAAGAAAGAACTATTGTTCAGAATGGTCATAAACTTCGACTAAGCCTGTTTCGGCCAATTGGCACGGAGAACGATATTCTCCCGGGTGTAATCTTCTAGTAAGTGAATAAAGCACATCATAGGTGAAAGAAGATCTGTTCATTTGATGTGAAGAGATATAATGTTCACAAGCAGTTTAGCAATTGGTATTCAAAGCAGAGGAACCAACTACTAATGATGATCTCTCGATGTAATCTCGGAAAGTAAAGCCATGGAGGCGGCTGGGCTTTTTGCTCCAAGTTCACCCACGGAAAGGCAATACGCGACGTAAGTAATGATGGCTGCGATATTAGATTTTTTTTAGAGTTTAACGTTCGTGGGAGCGAACTGTATAAAATCACCTGATGATGGTATTGGTACACAAGCATTAATTCTAAAATTCACATTCAGATCTCTATCAAAAACAACGTCGCTGTTGTGTATGTCGATTATACTCTTGCACCGGAAGCCAAATTTCCCATTATCAATGAAGAATGCTACTCAACTCTGGAATGGGTGCATGAAAATGGTGCTAGTATCAATATTGATACGAACAAACTCGCTGTGTGTGGCGACAGTGCTGGAGGTCATTTGTCAACTGCTATTGCATGTATGTCCGACATATTTCTTTACTTAAAGCTAAAATGGAAGCTAAACAGTATCATATAACCAACTGTAACCAATTAACTTTACCATAATTCTACTTGACCTTACGAACAAACTAGTGATGGCCAAGGAACGCGGGCTTGGTGAAGTGATTAAAGCCCAGATCTTGATTTACCCAGCAACAGCACCAACATCAGAAATTCGTGAATCCTATGAGCTTTTTGGTAATGGCGATTATGGCTTATCGAAACAGGAAGCCCTGTTTTTTAAAAACCTGTATTTTGATGAATTCGGCAATGATAACAAATTTGCATATCCGTTGCTGGCAACACGCGAGGAACTTCAAGGCCTCCCTCCAACATTACTGATCACTTCAGAGGCAGATATTTTACGTGACGAAGGTGAAGCTTACGCTCGCAAATTGGTCGAGGCAAGAGTTCCTACGTGTGCCATTCGTATTGTGGGAGCAAGTAAGTGATGACGACTCTGTTACAGAATTAGAAAAATGAGAAAAATTAAACCAACTCTTTTATGAATAGTTCATGCATATTTCAGTATTCCTACTCCTAAAGAGACCCAGGCCTACAAGCAGACAATGGCCCTAATCACGCAACAGCTGAATGACGTTTTCGCAAAGCAGTAATAGCTATATTCAATGACATCTTGACTAATTTGCTATAACTATAGTAATAAGGCTGTCAAGAATATATACTCAGCATTTTGCAGTAGAAGAATTCAATAAAATATCTCTAACAAGCGGCTTGTTCTGAGACAATTTATGCATCAGTACAGTGTTGTAATTCTGTCGCACGATAACATTAAATGCCTTACAAACACCATTTCCCAGCGTCGTCGTCGAATGCTACAGCAGAGAATCTAGTTTTGACTTTTTTGTATAACATAATGGTAGAGAAAGTGATTGTAGCAGGGTCGCCGATGAAAAACAAACAGGAAATTGTGTGCTGTGAAAGGTGTCGAAACGATGTAATTACGTTTTTGTAAGGTGAATAATATTGTTCGGATGCCGCCAAAGGCGCGCACAGTGAAATAAATGGTGGGGGGCAATGCATAGTGCGCAAGACAGGTCTTTTTCTTTGTCCGCACACGTTGTACAAAATTATTGTAATGATGCAAATCGCGGCAAACAAACAAGCAAGCAAGCAAGCAGGAATACCACTCATCAAGAGTTGGATACACGCGTGCAAGAAGGCGTGATAGCGTTTGCAGACGCAGTAACAGAGCAATATAAAGCACAACTGAGCTCTCGGAGTGTCAAGCGCGCAGCAGAGGCTTCCACCCAAAGTCGATGAAGTAGTAGGAAGCTTAAACATGCCATATCGATTCTTTGAATGCGTACTCTAGTATTCGACGACGCCCCGGGCTGGGGAGGTCGCCTCTTTCAGTGCATGAATGTGCTGAAGTTGGCAGAGCTTGTCTGTGGTGCGGGCTAAAGAAAAACATCGAAGTAAGGTTAACGATACACATGATTTATCACCCACCATACCCTTACGCATTGGCTTGCACATGATTTTGCTTATACTTTTGAGCTCTCTTGCTGGTCTCGTTTTACTTCTTAGTCAAGACAACCTATTAACAAGCCAGTCCTTCCCAGAGCAATCTAGGCTGTAGAAGCACCATTTTTTTGTAAACAACTAGTACATTGATAACTGTTATTTTTTGTTATAATCTTGCTATTTTTGTTTTCTTCGCGACATGATATTTCTTTCTGGAAGAGAAAAATACACAAGGGTCCATAACTAAATTTACACACAACTAATGGCTCACGGAAATAGTGGAGTCACCACCATTTCCAGCAGCTATCTGAAGTTTCTGTTCTACTTGTGAAGCCAAATCTTTAATATCATCATCCGGTGGAGACGCCAATGTCTCTGCTGCTGCCTTTACTTGTTGTTCGGTAGTAGTGTTGGTCGCTGAGTCTTCTGTGACTAGGGTTGCGGTAGGAGAAGAGTATTGTTGATGTTTGTGTTGCTCTGCTGTAGCCGATACCGCGTTTGTTATTACGGATGTGGTAGTGTAGTGAACGTACCTAGTAGGTGCCTGTGTAAGTAATGGGTTTTTCTGTGCTCTGCCTGTTTGCAAACACAAGTGATTCATTTTATATGAATTGTATATTAACTTACTGTTGTTGCTGATCTTGATAATACGGTTGTGATCCAGCAGGAGCAATGCCAAGCATAGTTTCTGGGGTGATTGGCATCATGGGTCTGACAGGGAAGCCTGCCATCGGTTGAAAGTCACGTGGTCTCAATATCCTCTTGCGGGCCGTCTGGTTTTTAAGTTTCTTTTGGGCTGGCGAATCAGCGAATCGCACTTGAAGTGGTGCTGATGAGCCTAACACTGTCTGACCGTTAAACCTTTCGATAATAGCAGTAGCCGATGCACGATCCGACAATCTGTGGATACACACATGAAAAAATAAGTCTTTTTCGTTCCCTGTTCCCCTCTTTTACATATGTGTGTGTATATACCGTGCAAATCCAACACCTCGACTCATGCTTGATTGTGGGTCACGTAATATACGGTTTGAGATAGTCTTGTGTGGCTCGAATAGATCTTCCAATTTCTGCATACGCATTAGATATTTCTAAAATATAATTGTTTTTCCCCCACCAACTTATATATCGAATAGTAAATACCTGTTCTGTCATGTCCAATGGAAGGTTTGAGATGTATATATTAGTGGATGTTTCATCTTGTAAGCTTCTCAAACGCGAACTAAACGACTCCTAAAATAGTTGCAATAATTCGTTCGTTTTAACTCTTTGTATGTAAAAACGACATAAAACCAAGCGAACATGGGTTTTCTCTTTTTTACCTGTCCAACCCGAGCAAATGATGCTTGTAACCCTGCCTTGTTTAAACCATCAATGGCCAAATGACAATCGTCCGCATTCTCGTACATGGTAAATCCATATCCTTTGCATTCACCCGTCTTTTGATCAATAATTGCTTTGGACGAGCTGATCTTGCCGTATCTACAAATGATATCGTTTTGTAGGTTATAGTGTAAGCAAATTCATTTCATAAAGTAGTCATAGCAGCGCCTGATTGTTCAGCATCATCACTTACACTCGGCAAAGTTCCATAAAGGATTCATCCGTGGTTGTAGAAGACAAACCACGCACATAGATATTATGCGAGTGATAATTGACTGGGTGATCTGGGATCTCATGCTGCTGCGGCGGCGAATGGTGTCGCTTATGATGACGCTGATCGGTTGACAGACTGTACGAACCAGGTAATGGTTGAATATATTGATGGGGCGGGGATCCAGGTACTGAGGCCGTGCCGGTCAATACAGGCGAAGAAATGTGCAAGGGCGGAAAATGATGGTGTTGTTGATGATGGGGTGGAAGCACATACGCATGCGTCGGAGGCGATAGGGTGATTCCTCCAGCAGAAGACGGTTGCTGATGGTGGTGATGGTGCTGATACTGGAAAGTCGGACTGAAAGGAGGGCTTGTAGGATTGACGGGCGGCGACTGTGGATGTAATGCAGGCGAGCCGGGGTAACTTTGATAGCCTGCTAGGTCGGAATAGTATTGCACCGAGAACTGTGGACTCAGTGGATACACGTATGTATAAGAAGAAGCTGCTTCGTCGAAACCACCAGCACCGCCACCGTTTGGATGGTGATGTCGATCGTAATGGGCAGGATCCATGTACCCATAGGGAGGGTAAGGCGGTGAAGTGGGCGTCGTTAAACCTACTGCTGCTGCGTTGCTATTAGTGTTGTTGTAATTATTGCCAGTAATAGTAGTGGTGGCACCGGTAGCAGTAGTAGAAGAAGCAGTGGCGCCCTGTGCTGCTGTTGCCGGCGCTTGCTTTGGAGTTGTTGCTTCGTTGCTACTATTACTGACAGCAGCAGCTGGAGCGCTGTTGTTGCTGCCAGAGTTTTCGGTGTTCGTGGTATTAGTCGTCGTAGTAGCAACAGGACCATTGCCAACACCAGGAGCAGGAGTTGCCATGAAGAATTAAACAGTGAATGAAGGAAACAAAAAGATAAGGAACTATAGTAGGTTGATGAAAGCGAAGACAAGGAAGAGAGTTATTCATCTTGAGAGTTCAATCTGGCGAATGAGCGTTCTAACTAGCATACCTTTAAATCAAAAGATATTATGCTTCTACTTTGCAGAAAGAATGAGGGCTGCAGTTGGGTGGAGTGCTGCTCCTTTTGGGCCTTATAAAATGCGTCACGAGGAAAAGAGAAAGAGAAGGGGAACACAAGAAGGTGACGCTGGACTTTCTAAAGCGTTCACTTGGAGCAGGAAACCGACTAATCGCTCTCTCTCTCTCTCTCTCTCCTGCTGCTTAAACTCCTGAATCTGCTCTCCGCCTTATTATGAATCTGGGGAAGCATACCATATAATTTGGACCTAGTTTGTTTACAGACGATGTGCATGTTGCTCTTTCTTTGATAGCCTTAATGTCTCGAGTGTACCCATGGTGCTCTCTCTCCTTTTCCAGCGGCAATGACAATTGCAGCTTCTGCTACTTTGCGTGCATGCTTTGACAAAAGGGCTACATCAGGAACGGCTGCTCAACGATTGTTACACGAAGAGCAATAATCTGAAACCTGGATCATCCAGACGCCATGGATGTTTCTCTTCCTGACTTGTACTTGGAATACCGCGGCAGACCAGAATCGGAAAGAAGGTACCTAGTCTTTTGCTTACCCAAAAGAAAAACTACATCAGTAGCGCCCTCTCTTCTTGCGTAAAGCGCTACAGAGTAGCTTCTGTCAATTACTACTGTCAACAAACTTGAGCTGGCCATCTACCACGGGGTTTCATTCATGTAACCTGAAATTCCTGTAGCACAACCTCTTCTTTCGAAGCAACATTGCGTAACAACAATCAAAGGGTCCGCCACCACGACAATATACACGCCATCCGGCTCATCAATGATCGTACATATATCAATGCTAACAAACCACACTACCATCAACAATGGGCCTATATATATAAAGGCGTCGTTTCTAGATGAAATTCTTACATTTTGCTACAATAAAGGACAAACACGGAAGGCATTTTTCTTATGGTGATCGATTCAAAAGAACAAAAAAACGTGGCCAATATAGCGGCAGTTCAAAAGACACATTGCTTTAAACATTTCCAGTAACACGGATCAGTCCTTTTTAAAATCATAGTGTTGTCCTTTTACAGTGCATTGAATGCAGTGCGTCGTGTCCTGAAATTTTACGCATATGACAAACAGATGTAGATCACGTTTTGCATATATAGACGAGCCTGTGAAGATCATATATCACATCTTCAGCAACATGGCCCGCTTTTAATCGCTCTGCATCTCCTAGGCGATGTTACGTGTATATAAAGGAACGCGAGCTTATTGATACACAGTACAACTAGTAGCACCTTAGAAGCAAAAGAGACTAATACCACTTAGTAAAAGAAGCCGCGAGTGCCAGCGAGAGTACAGTATCATAGTCATAGACATGATTCTGGGAAAAAATATGTACAACAGCGACAGTAAAAACAATGATAGTATTAAAAGGGATGTAATATAGTATGAGATCGACTCGTCCCTCGTATGTACCTGAATCCTGTTGCTATTACGAGACAACAATTTCAAGCTAATCCTTACTTGGTTAGATAGTGTCAAGGATTATGTGTTGCAGGATCATAAAATTTATTTTTGGCAGCAAGTATCAGGACTAATGGAACACAACAGCCCAGTTTTTATTATATTTAATATTATCATTTCGCGAGATGGAACAGGCTTTTTAATTTATCAAATTGCAAGATGCTTTGTATATCGTGTTCACCGAGCAATAGTACCACCATACTGAGCCTCCCTTCGAGATAACTTCCAGTGACTAACAATAACGATCCGTAAGATAATACATAGTGCTTACTGTCAACGGGAAATTTATGTAGCTAATTAAAAATCGCGGATACGGAGAGAAAGTGAACTATTCACGCGGTCCATAGCTTACTGGCGCTAAGAGTACTGACCTTGCTTATCTAATATACCACATTTGTACCCGATGAAGCTTGCTCCCATTCTTGTCGCTTTTTTTCCGTCCTCCATTTATGTATACAGCTTCCGGGATACCCTTGTAATGCCGATGCTAAATAGAAGAGAAAATTCTGTTCTCACTCGTGTCCAGTTTCTTACAAATGCAAACTACAACGTTTCACTTATTGATAATCATACAATCAGAAGTAGTAGTAGTGGTAAAATCGCTGTAGTTAGACGGAGTTGACTTTGCTGAAAGCATGTATCAAGTTAGCCCACCAACGACGAGCAAACCTTCTAATTCTTTCTTGCTAACACCAATTAAAGCACGGAAACCCCTGCTAATTGCCATTGTTACGCCGCTCCAAATCGTTGGAAAATAATGTATCAAACGTTTCATGTAAACAGCAAATTAAAAATGACGCTTGATTTTGTAGTATTGTGTAGTCAAAAACAATGTACTAAAAGAGCCAGCGGATGGGCGCCAAATTCGTAAGACCAAAGTGATGGGTATACTTAGAAAGATAAACCCTAAAAATGGTGCAGTCAAGCACCAGCAATACTGTGCTTCGGTCAAGTTAAGATCCGTCATAAGACCTCCCAGTTTTGTTTGTGTTATGAGACTTATCCTCCTCTACATTTACACATCTCCCATGCTCAGAAAATGAGCATTACCTAGAAATCCAATTATTTATGGAGTACTACGTTGCAAACGATCCAAAAGAACACTCCCAACCAAGTGATTGGTTATAAATTTAAACGAGGCTCTTTGCCTCACCGGACGAGCTGCTTCCCAGCCACAGAATCATCAATGTCTTTGCGTTTCCATAGGTGTTTGAGTTGCAAGAATATGTACTCGCTCTCTTTGTCATCGTCGTCTTCACAGGCTCCAATTCTCTTCTTGTTAGAAAGAGGCGGCAGCTTCACATGACTGTTTACTTCTGAGGATCAGTTGCAATACCAGCAGTATCGTAAAAACGCTTTAACTCTCTTTACATATCGGTTACTGATTCAACAATATATGCATATATGAAATTCGTATACTGTATATCTGCTGAAAATGTGTCATTGTAGTCACACCTATGTAGCTCACCATTTTGCGCATAATTCGGGATCTTCTGAAATCTGAACATCATCTATTGTCATGATTTCAAAACTGACGTTTGTTTGAGCTTCGACATTTCTTAAAAATCGAAAGAACCGGCTTGACGATAATGAAAACTTCCTGGCGTACTTTATAGATAATCAATAAGCCATTATGATGGTTGGCTGACACAGTAACACTATGTTTGATGTATGGGTGTCTTTTTTCTACCTTAAAGTGGTGACGGGAGAGAAAATGGCCATCAACCAAAGTGGAGGCGCGTTGATTTCATTGCGAAGCTTCCGGTCAAAACAGTGGAAGGCATTGTCACTTTATTATCCAAGGAATCAAAATCAATAGGCCTTGACGTTCCTCACAGTAGTGCCAAAGGGTGGTTGAGTGTTCATCAAGCGCGTGGCAAGTCCTAACTAGCGAAGAAGGTAATGAGGAAGAGGATCAAGCCGTCACAGCAATTCCGCGTATTGCTGCCCATATCAAAGACTTAATTATAAATACCGACATCCAACGAGTTTGGCTCAAGTGTCTGCATATCATGAGAAAAGGCCAGTTTAAAAAGATTTGGTCACTTTCTTCTACAGAGTAAAGAAGACCGGGTATCTTAATCATGGAGCAGGGAAATATATCTGTCTGCATGTTTCTACTTCGTAAGCTGCAGCTTGGACAATGGCAAACTATCATAATACTGTTATGTAATTGTTGTGAGGGCAATAAATCAAATTAATAGCACCTATCCATCCAAGCATGCTTGTATATATGACAGCCGCCTTCTGGCAGATTCACACCACATTGGCAGATCCGGAGCCTGACTTCAATGAAAGTGATGAAGCTATCTCACTAGCGGATGTGCTATTCGTATTCCCAAGGTTGAGGCGGTTACGATATACCAATTCCGGAATTTCACACGCTATTGGCGATCTGTCGCTACTGGAAACCCAACATACGCTTCAAGACCGGACAGCTGAAGGCAAGATTTAATTCAAGAGACAATGTCGGACCATTACTGCAAAAGTGTCCACAAATACGACGACTTGTTCTAGATGGATTCTCTGACAGGTGCTGACCGCCGTCTATGGAAAATGTCACAATTTGAAAATTTTCGGTTACAAGTTCATCAGTGGAATACGAAATTTGTACTTGGATCAAGGAGCCTACACGACAGATGCTATGAAGTTTCGCCATTGAGATCCAGAATAAATGCAGACACTCGAGACGGTTCACTTTTCGTTCTGTTCTTCAATATGGGGAGATTGCGATACCCATCATACTGGGCTCCGATTGCCTAATATATGCAGTTTGACCTCGGTTCAGATGGATGGTATGCTATTAGGGATAATACTACGATCTATATCTACGTCCACCACTCTACTGCATTTTAGCGCAAGAGATCCATCTGATGAACCGGCAATCGTCGATACACTTGTTCGAATACCGCCCTTGCAACATTCGAGTTATTGGACGCCGACATTGGAGCGAACGACATACACTTGATACGTTTGTTTAAATATTGTACAACGACTATCACCGAGCCGATAATTACGACGGCGACGACGTTAGCAGCAACAGCAGCAGAATATCAAGGTATTGCGGTCCATATGCTTTGGTAACTGGTGCAATATGTACAACTACATCCTTATGATTCTTGCCGATATAAACAACGCTTCGAAAAGCTTCGTTGAAGCGCTTATCGGACACCACGCCAAATGGATTTACTGACAGTTTGACCCACATTACGCTGTCCCATATTGATTCGATCACAGACAATCATGTTCTATAGCCATTCCACCTTCTGCAATGGAATTCTGGTTCTATTTGTCTTCTCCATATAGATGTTGAAACGAGATATGAGCAGCAAATCGTCAATCATTCATTCCGTCAATAAGATGATACAGGACGGACACTGCATTAGTCTTCTTGAATAGTGAAAAATGCATCATCTAAGCAACAATTATTGATTACTGTCCGACTTCTGTAACAATTCCTGTAACCGTGGTGACACAATCAATAGATCGGATGCTGTGGTACTGTACATCACAACAAACAGAGTGACGGTATCTATCTGTGTAAATATTGTCAAAATGACTAATATTTATGTGTCGTCAAGGGAGCTGTGTCAATTAATATCCGTCAAGTATGTTTGATGGGATTTGCGTGGAGAGCAATGAATAAGAGCATATTCTCGTATACTCTATACTCGATTGAACACTGCACATGTGCTGTAAACAAAGGCGCATGACTTGCTTAAAGCAAACGCATTTCCTCAGTCATTCGCTCTCAGGGGGGGGAAAGGCCGATTACCAATGTGGGTACTCCGGCATGCATTGAATCAAACTTTGCTGACTCAGTACTTAGCGATAATAGGATCGGAATGAATTTTTTCGTCTGGGTCCTCCGCGTTGGTGTGTCCCACAACCCATCAAACAAAAAACCCTAAACCTCGAAACGGTGTATAACTTTGAAAAGAGCTTTTACTGCATTTCTTCTTTTAGCCCCCACCCCCTTGGTTTTCTCTTTTACTGCAACGCATAAACAACAGCAGTGGTAATAGTAACAGCAACTAACAGGAACAACAATGACAACGGTCTTTACACTTTTTGGCATGAACGTGGTGCACAACAACGCACCTGCGTTACCAGCACGATCGCAGCCAACTACATACCACGAATACATTGACTTTTTGAAACAGCAGCTGCATTCCCCTAGTGCTATCACGCCATCGCTGAAACAACAATCTAAAATACGCATTCAGTGTCAAGTGCGAGCACGTATTCCGACCAATGAAGGTGGCGAAATGTACCTCCACCTGTACAAGAACAACCAAGACACCAAGGAGCATTTGGCCATTGTGTATGGCGACGACATTCGGTCACGATCCTTGGACAATGCCTGGGAAAATGAAACAATCATGAATCGAATTGTTCGAGGCGCTTACTATGGCCGCTTGGAAGAGGTTGTCACGGACGAGTGCCGTAACCTAAACTTGACAGAAGATCAAACTCGGTACTTGGAGGAGCAGCAGGATAAAGCCAAGGCCAGTTTTGCTCAGTCAGCCGAACCTCCCTTGGTACGGATCCATTCCGAGTGCTTCACGGGAGAAACGGTTCATTCAGCACGTTGTGATTGTGGCGAACAATTGGATGAGGCCATGCGCTTGATGCAGGAGGCGGGACGAGGTGTCGTTGTGTATTTGCGTCAAGAAGGTCGTGGTATTGGTTTATTGGAAAAACTAAAGTAAGTCTCTGTGTCTCTTTGATTGAAACGCGATGCGCGTCAGAGAAGGGGGGGGTGCTGAAGGGACAGTTTGGGGAACCTGAAATGAAAGAGAGAGAGAGAGAGAGAGAGAGAAAACTGATTTGCTTGTACATTATAGAGCCTACAATTTGCAGGATTTAGGTCATGATACCGTGGCAGCCAACGTTCTGCTGAAGCACCCGCCTGATGCACGCACATACGGCATTGCAAACGCCATTCTTGAGGATCTGGGACTCGAGAATGTGATGATGCTTACAAACAACCCTGACAAGATAGAGCAACTGGAAGCCTTTGGATCTGTCAAGGTGGTAGAGCGGAGGGCCATGGTGCCACGGTCATGGTCGTCCACGCCCGTGCCTGTCAACGACCTGTTACGAACACCATCGTCTTCACCCGCTCCTCAATCGTCGCCTCTCATGCGTGGGAAAGAATTGGACAAATACCTCGCTGTCAAGGTTCAAAAGATGAGACATTTGTTGGATTTACCACAAGGTCTTGACAAGTAAAAAGTGCTTTAACACCCTCTTACATATGCCTTTGCTTGATCCCCTCCCCTCCATGGTTTCTCTCTTGGTTCACTCGTCGTATACTTAGATCCCTCCCATCCACTAAGCGAAAATCCACTCTTATATTTGCTCCTTTTATGGTGTGTTGTAAATGCGTTTATAATAGTAATAATTCCCTGTTTCTTAGAATTAACATACATCTTTGATTGACAGAAAAGACTCTTTATACATAAATATTTACATAGTTATTAACCTCCACTGACAGGTGGTATAATAGCAACTTCATCGTTTGGTGATAGCTGAGTGGTAGCTTCATCATCCTTATCCACATACTCCATATTAACAGCATACATGGCATGATCCACTATGCTCCGCAACTTATCACCGTATTTGGAGACAAGGTGGTCAGTCAACATGGTCAATGTCCTTGGAGCGCCAGCATGCGTGAAAGTAGACACGTCAATGACATCGCATTCAACTTGAGTAATGTCGCGGACCGCAGCGAAGTACAAGACCTTCATTTCGGAGGGAGAGCTGGGTATGGAACGGAATAATAGATGATATGAGTACAAAATGCTTCGAGTTCTGTGGTTGGCTCTGACGCATCCCTGCATTTCTTTCTTTTTCCACGATAGCGTCACACGATAGCGTCACATACTTAAAAACAGATCGACTGACCTCTTTTTTTTTCCTTTCATCTATATACCATCCACCGTCGACTATTATGTACACTCCCCCAGTTGCAGGATCCAAAATTATCGTTGTAGGTGCTGGCACCTTTGGTCTCTCCACCGCCTATGCCCTTGCTTTGAAGAAATACAATGTCTGGGTATATGACCGTAATACTGTTCCCTCTGCAGATGCTTCATCTACAGGTAAACTTTTATATATAATCATCAACAGGCACGTGTTCATCTCGAGCGCGAAAAGTTATTCTGACGTAGTTTTCTGTATGACTTTTCTCAAAAACAAGACATCAACAAGTGCGTACGCATGGATTATGGCGGGGATACACTTTCCATGCAGCTCATGATGGAAGCTTACCCACATTGGCATCAATGGAACAAAGAGCGAGCGGAGATGGGCCTGAGCCCTGTTTTCCACCAGACCGGATGTCTGCTACTGTGCAAGGGCGATAGCTATTCTGACTATGAACGCTCATCCATCAAACACATCAGAGAAGCAGGATATGGCCACACGATCCAGGAGCTTCCCACGCCTGAAAGCATCATTGAACGATTTCCACAATTTAAAGATGCCGTTGACAATGGCTACAAAGTGGCTTATCTCAACACCGAAGGAGGTACAGAAATCTCGTTTCTTTTGTAAGACAACCGATAATATGATTATGTTAATGCGTTACTCTTATGTACGACTTAGGATGGTGCAACTCTTCAGAGACCATCAAGCATCTCTATCAAAAATGCGTGGATAATGGCGTCCAGTTTATTATTGGATCTGACAAGGGTGCCTTTGAGCAGCTCCTTGTTGAGGATGATGTTGTACGCGGCATCCGGACACGGGACAAAGTGAAGCATATTGCCGACCACGTTGTCTTGGCAGCCGGTCCATGGACAGCGAGTTTGCTCGATTTCGGGGGTCGTCTCCAAGCAACGGGCCAAGCTGTGATCCAATTCAGCCCTCCACCAGAATTCATCGAAAAGTTCAAGGACTCGCCCGTCTGGGGAGGTGATATTTCGCGTACCGGCTTTTATGGTTTCCCGATTAATGCAGAAGGCAAGATGAAGATTGCTAGCCATTCAGTGGGGTATGTGAGCCCTCGCTCTGCGGATAACGTATCTGTCCCTCGCACCCAAGTCACTTATCAGGACGATACCATTCCTGTCAAGGCCCTGGATAATTTTCGCAAGTTCTTGGGCGAATTTATGCCCGAGACAGACAATTGGGATATTTCATACTCACGTGTCTGCTGGTACTCGGATACAACTGATGGCAAATTCTTGGTTGCACCTCATCCAGACTATAAGAACCTTGTTATTGCCTCCGGAGATTCCGGCCATGCTATGAAGTAAGTAGCAGCACCTATCTCTTCTAATTTATGTCATCTAGGAGTTTGCTTAACTAATGGCTCGGCGACAACGACAGGTTTACCCCTAATATTGGTTTCAAGATTACTCAAGTCATTGAAGGTATCGAGACCGACTATAGTCGTGCGTGGTCATGGAAAGAAAGCAACAATGACGTGCTCACAAGCAGTGATGGCACAAGAAACATTACCTCGAAACCACTGACGCTGGGTGTTGGTGAAGCTAGAATGGCTTCAAAGGTTGAGTTGAAGGCACCCAAAAAGAAGTCCAGCTAGGACTTGTTTAGCAACAAGTCTAAATAATATGGTATTTCTGACGTGTTTGGCAACCCAGTAGTGTAGATGACGATTTGCACCCTTTTTGAAATTCTACTTTTACTTGTATTGCGCAAAGCCGTTTTTCGCTTTGATCTTCTTGGGTATCGCCTTTTAAATACCCTTTATACCAACTCATCAAATATAACCTTGGGCACATCCATCGTCCCTATTTCACAAGAAACAGCCAGAGAGTACCATTTCTCTCTAAAATGATAATACTCATAGTTAAGGAATAACTGTGTAAGCGATAGCATCACTCCCCAGAGTATATCGTTTTGTCATCAACGAGAAGCTTGTTATATGGGATGCATGTAAAGCAATACGGTATGATATCTATTCAAGTATTCATGATAAAAAAATAACTTTGCTTTTGTGCACTCTATCAGCAATGGCTTCATCACACGATATATACGTCGGTTGCTATGCTAGTCTAATGGGTTAATGTCTTCCCTTATCACCCCTGGCGCGGATAAAATGTATGATATCATCACGGCTGTATACATTGGAATTGGTATACAGTGCCTCTAAGGTTAACCACTAATGTCTTATTAGATCAAACTTCTTTTTATTATAGCAATGGACAGCTGGTATAATGTTCAAGAAAGAAAATATGATAGTAATTGCTATCATTTAGTACAAACTCCTAGTCAACGTAAAAGATCGTTGTCACAAGTACATCAATTTTTTTATCGCCTTTTTTTATTATAGAGAACAAACAGCATTTGCTTACTGTCATGCAAACGGCGGAAGCGGTTGCATCAGAGGTAAGCTGGTACAATGGCGCACATATTTATAAAAAAGCCGGGATATACATCAATATTCGCAGGCGCCATAAATGCTGAAAAAATAATGCAACGATCTGATAAATGCTTTTTCGGTTTGGACTCGTACCTTTAATAACTGCTCAACATCCTTGAAGGCGCCGGTATGGAGGATACATACCCGAAATTTTACAGCCAAACATTAACTGCGGCTATCGTAAAGGATGGGTCATCCTTTCGCAACACATCAGAGCAATTCCAGCATTCAACTGAAGCGATATCTTATTATTTACGCGCAATCTCGAACAACTTGTTAAATTTGGCAAGAAGCATGTCGCCCTACTACATATCTGGCAACGGGCCAACATCTCATCCGACTCGCGTTGCTCAAAATTACAGGATTTTTCCTAATGATTGGCGGGGCTTTTTTTCCCATCATGGCGGGCCTTTTTTTCATTTTGGCGTTGGGGGGTGTTTGTGATTGGCGGTGTGATTTTCGTGAATGGCAGGAGGAAAAAAATACAATGGCGGCCGAATTACAGATTGATGGCAGAATAATAGATTCATAAAGGCGGCCGTAATTTCAGGTTGATGGCAGAATAGTAAATTCATACTGGCGCTGTAATTATAACACTGGCGGCATCATTTATAAAAAATGACATTAGATACTAAAGGAGGTTCCTCTCCATTAAATACATCACAAAAGTGGGAAGATGTATGAGACAGTATAATAGGACTGGCAAGTTTCTACTAGATGATTAGCACATTGCCTTTATATATATCAACATAGATGCTTTGAGAACTAAGGGAAGAGCCGCAACAAAAGATATCGCAAACGAAAGTTAATGGTTATGTGTATGTAAAAGGTTTTTTTACAATGCAAGAGTTACTTCACATCACATCTACAAAAGCCGATCCTGCATAAGAGCCAATGCCCAGCGGACTTCATTGCAGCAATTGGCGTCCTTGGACTTCTGGACCTTTGAGTTCCATTCGAAATATGCTTTGACGATTTTATGTGTGGTCTCTACTGGCAGCTTGACTGGTCGTCGCTAAACTACATCCAGCAGCTCCTCTCATCTATTTCAGCTAGTAGCGAAATAAATCTTTGTCGAAGTATTTGCCATACTCGAGATCTGTTTAATAGCACTCTATAGACAGAAGCTATAAACGAAAGAACCAATTCTTGTTGTTGCAGGTATGCTGCTTTAAATATTTTTAAAATATAAAACTAGCTCAATCTCACACATCTCACTCACACCCACACCCACACTCACATTACAATATATCCATCAAGTCAAATCAACCAAGTAATTATTTTTTTAATTTTTTGTAGATTTATTATTGCGTTCTTTGGAAACATATCTTCCAATAGTTGCAATAGGAATGCCAGTTTGACGATAGATTTGTCTAACTGACATTCCCTGCTGGAAGTGGAAGTGGAAGATCAGGTCGATCTCTTCCTGCGTGACCCGCTGGCGTGGTCTTCTTTTTGGTACTTGGTCTTGGACCACGCCTTGTACTTGGGCCACGTCTTCCACCTCAGTCTTCTCCTCCGGAAACCAGTCTTGGACCTCGGTCTTCTCATCTGCGTAAAGCCAGTCGACCTCGGTCTTGTCTTCAACCTGAACTGGTGAAGCTGATGAGCTAGATAGAAAACAGGTTTTTTTTCATATAAGTGTTCTATGCATATTTTTTAATCGTGTATTTTTATTATGTAGTCGAGCTTACTTAAATCAACTTCAACCAGGTCAAGACTTGCAATCCAACTGTCGAAAGCATCGGCGAAGTCGCATTGAGTAGGTTCATCGTAAGGAATTGCGTTATGGAACATGTTGGAAAAATATGCTTAACCCAGTAACTAGATCCCATCTTTTAAATAGGCGCTCACCATCGTTGGTTTCACCTGAAGTGTCGTTGCACACAAGTGTCGTTTACACGAGTGTCGTTTACACAAATGTTCCACATGAATTTTATTTTTTATGGAGGAAGGTCCCTAAGTGAAATTTTATAGACTCTGCAGTCACGCGTGTCCCACATCAACAGAGGCGTGCTGCGCGCGAAACTGTGTGCTAGGTCGATCAGTGTCTTCTACAGGTATGGCTCATTCCACACGAAGTTTCGAATATAGACTATAGTGAATCGCTATTGATAATATTTATTCGTTCTATATTATATATTTTTCTGTATTCTTTGGCCCATCGCTCCATAGTTGAGCGTGGAATCTCAGTTCTATTGTACCCTTTTCTTTCGATGGCACATAGTCTTACTGCTTCCTGGATCCTCTCACTCTCCTTGTACCATTTAGCCTTTTTTGCTTTTAGGCCCGCAAATTGTTCTTCTAGTTCTTGTATTACTTGCAGAAGCTCTAGGGTTTTTAAAATAATAGAGGTCTCGGCTGATGGCTCGTATTCTTTTCCCAGTTGCTTTGCATCATAGATTTTGATAGGGTGCGCGAATTTTTACGTACTTCCATTTTCGGCGATTGCAGGTAAAGCAGTCGCTCTGGCAGGAAAACCGGTCTCTTTTTTCTGAGCGCGTTCCTTGACTACTTACACTCACTAGTCATACAATCATACTAACACCAATTTTTACGTACATCAACCTTAACGTACCTTTAAAACATAGTGTGGGCTTTCTTGCCCTTCCGTGAAATTTGATTATATATACAAAATCTTCAAAGTAATAACAACAACATGTATGGTCCTTTTAGCGCTCAAGGTACTTAAAAATCATATACAGCAGGTACGTAAAATCGGAAGTATGTAACTCCAAAATGAGAAGTACGTAAAATTTTATAGGTTAAATATACAGCGCGAGAACTGATTTACTGTAAGGTGCGGACAGGGACAAGACAAGACAAGGACAGAAACACCGGACGAGAATGTGCTAGGTGCTTTCGGCAAGAACAGGACAAGACAAGAAGGAAGCCAGAAGGTAGGGAACCAGATACTGAGGGAAGAAACAAGAACAAGGTATAGGGAGGAAACAAGATAACTGACTGATGTTTTATCGTTCAAAGACTATGATATATATATATATGTCTTTACTATAGAATTCAATGATGTGAATAAACGGAAAGATTGGTATTAAGGTCGATAATTCGGATGATGATGATAGATGGGGATTTAATATGTCATCAACGAGGTTGAGGATGATCACTTACTAGAAGTCGAAGAATGTTTATAACATTTATGTACTTCGGTGGCCAAGTACGTAAATTTTTGCATAAAAAGTAAGGTGAAGTACGTAAAAATTCACAGTAGCCATTGTAGCTGCAACGGTTATACAGAGTCAAAGTAGGCTACATCAATGGTAGCTATTTGTATGATCTACTCAAACGAGGCACAAAAAAGACAAGAAGTACGTAAAATTCCTAATAGGAAGTACGTAAAATTTTATAGTACGAATATACAGCATCAGAACCGATATACGTATTTGAGTGGCTAAGTACGTAAAATCTTGGAGGCTAAGTACGTAAAAATCCAAAAAAGGAAGGTGAAGTACGTAAAAATTTACAGTACCCATTTTGATAAATTCCTCTATTCAAAAAAAATTAGCATAATGGTATTGTAAGCAATTAAAATGGATGTATGAACATACCAATAAGAGGGTCTTCGCCATCATTGACGTTGACAAATTCGCGTATTTCTTCGTGAGTGAGGGATATATTGCTCATTGTGAAAAATAATGTTCATAAAGTACAATATCAAGTGATTGAATTACTACGTATTTAAACTATGCAGATCTAACGCTCAAGGTGCGTAGAGCACCTAAAAGAGATAAAGCAAATGTCTACTTCGCGGATCTTACGCTCAAGGTGCACGGAACACCTAAAAAGAGCAAAAGTCCACTATGTAGATCTAACGTAAGTTGTATGGAACACCTGCTTTCCACTCTGTTCGCGCCCTCCGCCCACCCCCAAGCTACCGACGTAGGTTGACTTCATCCACTGTACAAGCTGATTCAATCCTTTGTCCAAATTTGATGGAACATCAAAATAAAATAAAAGACAGAAGGCCAGCATCTACTAGATATAAAGTGGAATTGTATAGAACACTTGCTTTTAAAAAAATTAGCTCACCTGCTGCCTCTACCTTGCCATGAGGGCATGTCTAAGTTAGAGTAGCATAGAATACTTCCAAAAAAAAAAAATACAAAGTACGAAGTTGTATAGAATACTTGATTATTGTAAAAGTCCACCATGAAGGTCTAAATTTAGGGTTGTATCAAACACTTATTGAAAAGAAAGATGTAATGATAGTTTATATGAGTAGTACCAAGTAGGACCAGTATGACGAGTTGATTTCTTTAAGCAGGTGCTCTGTACAACATAAGCGGTAGATCTTATACGTAGTGGACTTACTGGGTGTTCCATGCGAAAAGCCAACCCATACTAAGACAGAGTCCGTCCCACAGCAGGATAGAGCAGGTGTCCCATACAATGTAAGCGATAGACCTTATTGCGGACTCACTGCTGGGTGTTCCATGCAAAAAGCCAACCCATACTAAGACAGAGTCCGTCCCACAGCAGGATAGAGCAGGTGTCCCATACAATGTAAGCGATAGACCTTATAGCGGACTCACTGCTGGGTGTTCCATGCAAAAAGCCAACCCATACTAAGACAGAGTCCGTCCCACAGCAGGATAGAGCAGGTGTCCCATACAATGTAAGCGATAGATCTTATAGCGGACTCAATGCTGGGTGTTCCATGCGAAAAGCCAACCCATATCAAGACAGAGTCTGTCCGCAGCGGGATAGAGCCAGGTACGATGAGATGCTTTTTTGGGCAGGTGTTCCATGCAAACCTGACTTAAAACACCTTCTTCTTTGCCCTAAGCAACTGTTCCATGCAACTTTAACTTTAGATCGTTGTCATAGATTTTTGCTTTGTGAATTTTCAATCTTAGATCGTTGTCATGGACTTTTGCTTTGTGAAATTTCAATCAAGTCCTCCGTACAACCTTGCATTAGACATCTGAGTGATGAGCTTTTACTCTAAGCAAGTGTTCCATACGACTTTGCTTTTATCCGGTATTTGTTGAGTAATTGTTCCATAAAACCTTACATTATGCATCATCTTAGTGAACTTTTATTTAGCATTTTTTGAGCAAGTGTTCTGTCTGAAAAGTATTTAAGCAGTGAGCTATAGGTGAATTGATTGTTTATCGCTCCCAACATAAAATGTCTGAATTAATCGAATACGAAGATATTGTCATGGAAGAAAACATCTACAACGATGCACTGCCATTTGCCGAGTTCGAAGAAGACACTCCATCACCATCATCATCATCATTGTCGCCACCACCATCATCATCATCATTGTCGCCACCATCATCCGAGCGAAGAAGAAGGGCACCCCGCAAATACACCCAAGAAGATGTTGTGGCGGTTCTCAAAGCCTATTTCTACGAAGGACGTAGTGCTGAAGAAGCTGGCGCGACCGTCGGGATGCCGAAGTCAACGGCAGCAAAGTTGATTCGCACTTACCGACCACGGATGCCAGCTCCACCCCCAAGGCCCCGCCATCGTGCCCGTCCAGCACAAGCGCAGCCAAGTATAATTACGAAAATTAGTGAGGATGTTCTGGCATCTGCTTTGCAACAATAGTTTTTTTTAATAAATTTTTTTTCTTGTTGCTGGTTTAATTCAAATGACTTGTTTATTTAATAATGATATAATATTTCTTGTAACATGGTTGGGTATTGGTAAACGGGAAGGAGTATTGTTGGATGATGGATAAACGACATTTGGATGTCCGTGCGTTATTGACATTCCTTTCTACATTTTACTATGCAGATAATTGCTCAGATTAGAGAACAACTGGTAACATCTTCTTTTCTATAGGCTTATCCACAATTATTTTCCTAAACTTTCATATCCCCTCCAGCAACACATACATGAGAATAAATCGCAACTGATCAGCAGAATAAAAAAGATTGAGGTGTTCCGTGTAACATAACTTGCACATTACGCAGAAAAAGATTGAGGTGTTCCGTGTAACCTAACTTGCACATTACGCAGAAAAAGATTGAGGTGTTCCATGTAACCTAACTTGCACATTATGCAAAAACTTGATGATGGATGCATAGGGATAAAATGTATATATAAAGCCAACGTAGTTTATCCACTAAAACTCATCCTCACATTTTCATTTGATTTTTCTAGTTACCTATTATCATGCTACCTATTAAAAGTTTACTACTACCTTACACTACCGATGTTGATGTGTACGAAGACGAGATGGAAGTCGATGATATATATCAAATTGTATCCAACGAGTGCAGTGATTTTACCGGTGGTGTGCAATCCCTCGTATCAATGACCAAGATAAAAAATACGTTGCAGGTACTATTTTTTTTTGTTATTAACTACTCGTCGATAACTTTATGATATTTAATGGGTATTTCAAACTTTTACTAACTAAAAATTGATAATTCAGCAGAGAACTTCTACTTCCAAGGTAACAGATACTCCAGCGTCTACTTCGACTGTTACCGCAGCCACTCAAGATCGAACAGAACCAGCGAAAAAAGGAAGAGGAAGGCCTCGCAAAAATCCTCAACAAGAAACCATTGTTCCAAAAAGTATGCTACCCAATATTATTAAACCTTACCAAGACCATTAAACTTCCAGTTGTGTTTGATATCTAACATAACAATTCTAATATTTTTTAGGGGCTCATCGAGTGTATCGAGATCCAGAGATTATTCAACTGATCGACAGGATTCAAAACGTCACCTTAAACGCTGCAGAGGCTGGGCGCGACCTTTTGATCCCGGAACGAACTGCACAACGATACTGGAAACGATTTGTTGAAGGCGAACCATACCTACCAAGTACGATGGGCAAATCACCTGGTCCTCCACCAACCTTGGCACCCGAACACACGGCATTTCTCCAGGCGTATTACGATACCAAGTCAGATGCGACCCTAAAAGAAGCACAACAATCGCTTGTTGATCGATTCGGCATCAGCATCACCCAAAGTGGCCTCCAAAAGCACCTTGTCAACAAATGCGGGCTTACCTTGAAGAAGTTGGAACGGATCTCCGAGTACCGCAACTCCGATGAAACGATCGCTTCCCGGATCAACTGGGCATACGCATTTGAAGCCAGTGGCATTGATTACTACAAATGCGTCTTTATTGATGAGGCTGGCTTCAACATGCACATCAAGCGTAACTTTGGTCGATCAAGACGAGGTGAGCCCGCCAAGGCCTTGGTTTCTAAGTCGCGTGGGGTGAATATTACGATCTTGGGTGCCATCACTGGTGAAGGTGTAGTCAACTTGAGTCTCCGGAGACCTCAAGTGGTTGTCGCTTCCAAGAAACGCAAGACGCATGACGGTGAAGAAAAGGTGGTGGGCAAAATCGGCACTCGGGCGGAGCATTTTATCGAATTTTTGGAAGTGATGATGAAGGTGCTCACTGAAAATGGTATGGGTGGAAGGACCTTGGTATTGGATAATGCCGCTATCCACAAGACTGATGAAGTTCGGGATGCCATTGACAAGCAAGGATTCGAGATCCTCTTTCTCCCGCCCTACAGCCCATTCCTCAATCCAATTGAGGAATTTTGGTCAAAGCTCAAGGCAGGTGTCAAACGCCATTTACTGACCACAGACGACACCTTGCTACCGCGCATCATCAACTCCGCCCATGAAGTCACCGCCCAAGATTGCCAAGGATGGATTCGCCATTCCCTTACGTTTGTGCCTAGGTGTATAGAAGGAGAGAAAATGCTGTAGTTTTTTTTTCATATTTTATATGTTTTTTTTTACTGCCCTTCGATATTTTTTCCTTTTACTTTTTTTTTCATATTTATATATGATTTTTTTAATAAATTATAGAGTTGTCGAAAATCATTAACTGTCATGCTGAGAAAAAGAAGGCAAAACGATTACAGTAATTACCCAACCGCCATTATGAATTTACTATTCTGCCATCAACCTGAAATTACGGCCGCCTTTATGAATTTATTATTCTGCCATCAATCTGTAATTCGGCCGCCATTGTATTTTTTTCCTCCTGCCATTCACGAAAATCACACCGCCAATCACAAACACCCCCCAACGCCAAAATGAAAAAAAAAGGCCCGCCATGATGGGAAAAAAGCCCCGCCAATCATTAGGAAAAATCCTGTACTCCAAAGAAGTAGTTGGTGCCATCGACGGCGCCCATATCCGAGCATCAGTTCCGGTGGTACATCCAAAGTATTTCGTAATCGCAAGAACGATTTGAATCAGAACTGCTTTATTACATGGAGCCTAAATCTGGAGTCCCAACATGTCTTGGCAGGTTGGGGAGGTTCTGCGCATGATGATACTTGATACATAACAAGCGTTCGATACAGACTTTATCGTTCCAATAAGGAAAGTACTCTCCTGCTGATGTCGGATTTTGGCTCTTTCTGGTTCGTTTCTAAATCAAAATTGCGGTGTGCGAGATCATCTGCGTGAGTCGGCAAAGTCGAAGACTAACGGTAGGCTGATGTATTTGGTATCTGTTGAGTCTAAAGTTCATACTTTATAAACTTGCTAAGCTTATAAGAAATGACGCGTATACTCTATTCATAGCCCCCGTAACAAAAGATAACTCTTCAACTTGCGTCACGCTCATTTGCGAAACGCCATTGAGCGAGACTTTGGCTTTCTGACGAACGGGTTCGGCATCCTGGACGGTGACGTGTTGGGCTCAGTATAGAAGCGCATTTATTGATGGTAAAAGCAAGTTCCCAACGGAACAGAACTGATTGGGATAGCAAAAAAAGCTCATTATTGACGCCCGCGGAGACTCCTGGGATGGATCGACAACAGTAAGGGGTGTGCGATGAAGCGTCCTCGATTGTTTTCATTAGAGGTAAACATGTACAAACAATCAAGGATGTAGGTGCGGGTGATGATTCATACATGGATGAATTATGTGAGGAACCAGAAGAAAGCACAAAACGCTCGTTTGATGACTAGATAATGATCACGAGCTCGGGTTCAGACAAGGGCCCGTTCGTTTTTGCGCGCAAGGCCATGAATTGAACACCAGCGGGTAAATTTTAATATAAAAGGAGAGCGCCTTCAACAAGAACTGGGTTGCATATTATCTCTTGTTCCTGTACTTTAAACTTGCACACCACACATACAATCCACAATGAATGTAAGTTCATCTGTTTAGAGTTTGCAACTGATTACGCTCAAAGACTCGATCTAACGCGTGCCGTTCGTAGGAGTATATGTTCAGCGTTGAAATGTCCTGCTCCGGCTGCTCCAATGCCGTTAATCGTGCACTGTTACGCCTCGAAGGTACAACTTGAGAAAAGACGCTTAGGACTGTGGAAGGGGAGGGTATATGCTTGTATAAAGAACGGTCTACATGCGTGCCTGTAGAATTGAGAATAATGATAAACTGATACACATAACGTATCAATTCAGGCGTCGAGGAAGAAAACATTGATATCAATCTTGATAAGCAAACCGTGTATGTCAAGACCGACTTACCGCGCGAAAAGGTGCTAGAAACGATTAAAAAGACGGGCAAGACTGTCAAGGATGAATAAATATATGATAAGGCCCGCCGAAGCATTACTTTCAAACACATTCGATCCTTGGTCTTGTTTTTTTTGTATACCTTGTAAACCACAAGAAAAATATATACGTATATGTGAAGAAGACTACAACAGCAAGAAGAACAAAAGAGAGAGTGAAAAGGAATGTAATGTTGGGGGGGGCGTTTCAAGGAGATTGGGGTGGCTTTGGGAATGATGCGGGTGATAAGGATTGTGTCGAGCGGTGTGCATCCCAGAATATCGTGATTTCGCCGTCGCTTGGACCGGATACCATGCTATCCGTTATCTGGGGACGCAACTTTTCTGAACTGGAAGAAGCCGACGACGCATTCGTTGCACTGTGTCGATCATGGAACGGATCATCTTCATCATTTAGCTGAGCTGCAGGAGCAGAACTGGGACGCTGTTCAACATCTGCCAACTGCACAGGCACATGCTGCTGCTGTCCATTTTCTTCGCCTGGGTTTTGTTGTTGTTTTTCTGTTTGCTGCTGTTGTTGTTGATGTCGTGTGGGGGCCGTATTGGATCGGCTAAGTTGAGTGGAGTCTCGTGTCAGGACTGTCCGCGTCGAGCCACTACGAGTCAAGCCAGCGCCATTGTTGACACGCACGGTGTTGACACGCATGATTTGTGGTTTTGCTCGTTGCATCTGATATGCCTGTGTTGCCTTAACAGGCGTTTTAGTGACATGCGCTACACTAGAAGCAATCGATGCGCGTTCGTCGTCTGTGGTCAGCACACTATTGCGCGAATGATGGTCGTCAGAGAATGGATTATCGTCAGCTGCTGTCAATGCGGTTGCTGTCGACTGTCGCTGCAGATCTGATTTTCGGAAGGATTGGGATAGGAATTTATTGTAGCGCGGATAGGAGGTCTGAGCTACTGCATTGTCGTATTGCTGCTGTTGTTCTTCGATGGTGTTGGCTGGTCGATTGTAGACATGTTCTGATGATTGGCGTGAAGGAGGAATATATGCTATTGGTATAACGCCAGACATGACCTGTTGTCGACTCGACTTTTACGACCAGAACAACAGGTTATTAGTATTCGCTTTGATTATTCGTGGGTCATCCAAATATATCTACCTCGTTGCTATCATCGTTCATTATAGCTGTTGTTGTCGGTGGTGATGCCGCGGCCACCATTGACATGGCCGGAGCAGACGGAGGTGGTGGAGGTTGGCGTTGTTGCTGGGACATGCCAGATTTTCCATGAAAGGCAAACGGCAACGTGTTCTTCTTTTGTTTATAACGGAATCCAGCATACCCAGCTGCAGATAGAACAAGGCCAGCACCAACAAGACCACCCACAAGGCCGCCGATCAAAGATCCATTATTGGCGCCGCTACTAGTACTGCTGCTGCTGCTATCATCGTTACTGTCTGAGCCCGGTGTGGATGTTGTAGGCGATGAAGGTGACGAAGAACCGCCGAGTACGGATCGACTGACGCATTGTGAGGCAGGACATACACCACAGCTCGACATGGTTCCCATGATGCACACTTGATCTGCACCACAGCTTGGTGAGCATCTCGCGACGCAGTTGGATGGTGTACAAGACCCGGTCCCAGTCTTTGTCGTAGCTGTGTTATCTGCTAAAGCGGGTAGCAGTAATAGTAGGAGTTGTAGTAGTGAGATGGTCATGTAATAAAACAAAAGGAGGTAAGAGTAATTTAACGGACAAGAAATTAATAAGCCGACCGAGAAATCCAACCCGCTTTATTGGTGCCGTTGCTTTGTACGTACTTGAAGTGCTGCTGTTGTCTATTTCAGCAGCGTCACATAGGAAGCCCAGAATCAGGCATGCCAACATTAAAGAGATGATCATGGGGCGCCGTTTTCGTCGTCCGATTGGAACATGTAACTTCATTGTTGTTATAAAAAAAAGGAAAGGTATGAGAGCAAGAGAAAGAGATCTACCAAAGACACGAGGGTCTCGTAGGTGGTTTTTGTAAAGTGAAAGGAATGGGGAGTTGCTAGAGGCAAACACGATAAGAATGGAAAAAGAAGCTGTGACAAAAGAAAAGAGAAAAAGAAATCAATTATGAACGTGCACAAAAACGGATTTCATTCAATTCAATCAAGTGCTACGTATCACACAGCCGCACACACCGTACACAACAAGCATTTATTAGAAACGAGTATTTTCTAGTGTCGTACAAGTTGTTTTGGGCTCATGGAAGAAGCAGCTATAGCTTTTTTTCCCACAGAGCAACATCCTCACCATCGTCATCGCATTATTCAAACAGACACGTTTATGTTGCATCAAAGTGGCCTAACCAACAAGTGGTCAATCAAGCGTCTAGAACAAGAAGCCACAGAAAGAGGAGATCACATGTCTGAACGACGCCCCAGCACCTCAATATAATTTAAGGGAAAAAAGGGCTCCTGCAGAAGTACCACATACCAAGTGCATTAACTCGGCTCCAAAGATCGTGCGATGTAGCGAACTTATGCTCGTTGATATCCACCTGATCCTTGTTTGTGAGGGAAACTCGAGCCATTTGCTGGCAGCTGATATCTTGCATTATTTTCTAAAAAGTCAGGGTTTTAATTTATCATTTGAATAAGGTTCTCTTTGTTCTTCCTTGTATACCTTTCGATTAAATGGTGTCGTCATGTCATACAAGATCATAGTGCTTGCCTCAAGATCAGACCCAGGGCATACTGGCTACAATCTGCGTATATCCACGTATCATAAAAACGAAAGAGAAAAAGTTCGCGCCTTGTAAATTGTCTCGATTCACCCTTTTCTCTTCTTTCTCAGAGACAGATAGAAAAACACTTTCGTACTACATACTGAGGTGCCTGTGCGGCGGTGTTGTTGTTCTGGAAATAATAACCCGCAGTAGCATCGTTGCACCAGCAACCGTTTATTGCCTAACCCTATATATAGGATCTTCCCTCAGAAATGTGCGTGATGAATTTCAACATGACGGCTTTTTTCCTTCCATACATGCAAGGCGTCTGATACATCAAGGCATGCTAGACTATGCATTTCGATGTGGTTGCTTACTACCCTGTATCTGTACAAAGATAGAACTGTGGCTATAATAATGATAACATACTTGAGACTGGTTTCAATAATACGAAGCAATTCATACTATTTCATGGTCAAAAGGGTGCAGAGCATGAGTGCTTGTTGAATTCCACTTCTTGTCGCTGTGTACGCTATCGATACTTTCCGGTAATCACATACTACACCATTGTAATAGAAGGTGCGCATTATGAAGATCGTCAATCGTGCAAAGGGATATGGATTTGATGATAATATGAAAGCAGCTGAAGCGGTCATAGATGCAAAAGACGCCATTGCAGTAGTTTATATCATTCTTGTGAAAATGGCAAGGGTTACGGATAACTCATCGACTGGTTTCGAATTGGAGGATAGTAGCATAGAGCTACATTTCCTGCTGCTAGAGTAGAGCTTATTAAACGCGTTGGAACGAGGACAAGGGGTAGGCCGCGTATAAAGCATTTGCTTATTCCAATATATATAATAAGAAGGTCACTCAGGGAATCGATGTCGATTGCCGTTTAGAGTAATAGTAAACTAAGCAGCTAGAACAGGGGTAAAAGTTACATTTTTATGCAACCACAAATTCTTATCTATTTGCTATACAGTGATCTATCTTCAATAATACATACAGTATATGCCGTTTTTTGACATTTTATGGGTAATATGTACAAAGGCGTATTCTATAATTATAGCGTCGTATTGTAATGATGGTCCACCTTCATTATTCAGTTTTTCGCAATTTTGTCAAGAACGCTGTATGACCTACATATTATCGGCACAGAACAAAAAGAAAGAGAACATGCATCAGCATTCCTCGTCCCATTATTTTCGCTGATAATCCTCATTCCTTGATGAAATTCACCTTTCACATCAAAATTTTTGGGTCGACAAACCCACGCCAGCTCTTCCGTGCTTCTGATTTGTGTTGCTCGCACTTCCCATTCCTTCCATTCGGCCTCGATACAAGAATCCATCACCATTGGCAGATCTCGGACGGCCCGCACCAAATCCAACACCTGTGTCATATTTGGTAGATAGCATACAATGAACCGATCGTTGCGTAAAAGTGGCAGTAGTTTTTCAATATATTCGCTTGGTGCGGGCATATCAAGGACAATACCATCAAAGATTACATCCTTTGGCGCCACCTCACATACATCACCAATGTGAAAAGATACCGCATCCTTGTATCGTCCTCGCTCGTAGCGTTGTACATGTTTCCGTGCTGTGTTGGAGTGACCCTCACGAATATCGCAGGTGTGTATCCGTCCTTGGGTAGAGACTGCTCTTGCTAAATACAGAGTCAAAGCGCCGTTGCCAGTTCCGGCTTCTAGGATCTGATGACCAGGCTCAATATCAAGCATTTGTACCTATCTTAATAAACGGGTTAAAAATTCTCTTAACGCGTGAAAGTAAGATCTAAGACGAGCGTTGATACTTTACGATAGTGGATGCATCTTTTGGATAGATAGGCGTACAGCTACGGGGAACGTTGATTACGTACCTATATACGAGGAAAATTATTAACACTTTGTTCCTTTAAAATCACGGTGCAAAAGATGATAACTTACTCGTCAAGTGTCGGCTTATGCACCATAAACCCAAACGCATCTATTTTCATATACAAGATACTGACTTAGCTGCACTGGAGGAAAAAGTAACACTGACAAAAATAAGAAAATGGTGCCGCAGAAGGAGACCTATACACATACCATTATGAGTGCGTACTGATGATCTTACCGAAGCTCCAATCAGTTTCGAGTGAGGAAGGATTCCACCCTTGTAATCCTTATGTTGGCCCTCTTCTAGTGGGCCCACCAAGTACTTGCGATTGGACTTTAGTTCTCGAAGCATGCAAAAGTCGCCCTCCTGGAAAGTCGAAATTGTGCATTGCTGTGCTTTGTGAATTGGAAACCGGCGTTGTAAGGATCGAATGGGGGGACGAGCAAACATGTTGACGTTTGCGGGCGAAAATAAAAGGTACGACACACAGTGGCTGATGGGAAGTCCTGTGAATTTTCAATTCGGGCAGGTGATGGCGGCATCAAAGTCGAACATGCGTGTCGCCGCATCAATATAATCAGCGTCCAAAACGATAAGATTTCACCACAACGCAGAACATACGTTTGGACATAAGCATCATACATGTATAGTGCGACATCTATTACTCTTGAGCCTGTTCTCTGTACTTAGGAGATATGAAAGTATTGCTCTGTTTCATTAAATGATGGTTTATTTTTCCATGATATAGTTTCATCATGGCTCCATTCTGTTTGATCTTCTCCGTGAGGCAGTTGGTCAATTTTTTTGTTCGTGGCTGAAAACGGTTTTTCGTAAGCATTATACTCAGGAATGAGGCAACCGCTAGGCTATGATGACAACTGAACACTATACTTGCTTTGATGTTTCCAAATATAATGAGGATTTCTGTGCATTATGCATCCATCGATGCTCGCAGTTAGATCAAAATAAAAAGCGTCGTATGCTCAGTGTTCATCGTCTGTAAAAAATATATATATATCTATACATTAGGATCGATGCTGTATATGTAACACGAAATAAGCTCCACCCATAATGCTTACCGTGCTGGACGGCGAGTTTTGGGTTGGTGTGATTTAGGTTGTTGAATGTCGCCTTCCACAGTTCTTCGCAGTGAGGATCTGCGAAATGTGGTTATGTTACTGTACATAACCCATCCAGGGCATACGCCAATCGAGCAGAAAGTGAAACATAGGTACTCCTTCAATAGTATATATTAGCCAGACTTCTAATTCTAATGGCGCTTTCTTCTGTACAACGTCTTCAATTACACCAACTTCATCTTAAAGGACATATCAGATTTTACTATATATCCTTCGCTACTAGCGTAAGTCGGTTCGTCTGTACAGTCTGATACTATGAGAAACTAAAGCGAGAACTTGCAATTCTTGTTTTCATGGGTGTATAATCTGCAAAAAGCGAGAAAGATGCCTGTTGAAAGAGAGTTACGTTTCATCGAAAAGTTTCAAAATGTGAAGAAAGTGCAATACGTGGTGGTTCTTTGTGATTAATGTAACAAAGAGCTGTAAGTAGAGTTCGGGATCACTCTCCGTATACAAACTGGTAAGCACCGGCTGTATTAACATGCAGCTGGGCAGGACTTTTGGGGCCGTCCTTGATGTGAGCTTTACACAGTACCAGATGTAGCTTATGGATACAAAATAGAAAGTGACCGACTTGTATGGTGCGGACCGCGCGGCAAGAAGAAAACGGACACGGACGCACCTGGGGGCGATGAGCCCATTAAAAGTGTCTGATAAACTTAGTAGCGACATATATTCTTTCATGTCGTGGGATCCTACCACAGAGAGCCACTAAAGCTACTAATCGGTCGGCTAAGAAAAAAATCTCTTTGGAAGTTGGCTTACCGATACAACTTTTGAAAGACATCCTTTCGTTTCCGGGTTACCTCGCTTCATGATTTAGAATGCTGCTCGTCAAGCTCTAATCTATATGGTACTGGGCGTTATGAGGGGGCTTAGTTTGGTATAATATACAGTATGACTATTTGCCTGAAAAAAAAATTGAAATTGATTATGTGCGTAACGCCCAGTAACTGCCTTCCATACACGGTGGGTACAATCTTCCTTGACATTCAAATATGCTCTTCCATCTAATCCTGGGATGAACTTTTGTCGCCTTCGCTTCGCCACACATCAATTCTCGAGAGTTTCGGCTCGACAGCTCGACAGCTCGTTACCGAGGTCGATAAATGGTGAGCAACTTGTGTCATTTCTTAATGTAGGTGTCTCTGACACCTGAAATTGAGATATACTTTGCAAAGCCATCATTGCATAGTTGCTGGCAAATATATTTGGCAATGTTCTATCCTCCGTTTCAAAATAGTTTGTATACAAAAGCTACCGACACACTGATAACCACATTAAATCATAATATCTAACTTGTATATGTAAGAAGTAGTGCTTAAAAAATGTTTTCGCTATTTATAGAAGCTACTGGATATTCAAGCAAGTATGTACATGTATTTCAAACTTTCTCCATTAATCCGCTTTGTAGACGCAGCTTGAGAATAATGATGAGCATGACGCTCAGTATAGGTACAAAGACACACGCTAATTTATGAGTTCTATAAGGCTCGATATTTAAAAAAGATTCGATCGCATTAGCTGCTATAGGACCAACGATAAAACCAATAGCATTCGCAATGTAAGCAATGGAAACACCAGATGAGAACGTACTTGTTTCAGTAATATCACTTATAACCGAAACCGCTGTAAAAGATTGTTGTTGTTGCTGAGAATTAATTCAGGCATAGTTTTTTTTGAGGGGCGGGGAAGACCAATACTACTACAACTTACTCAGGGTATAATATGATGGACCAAAGAAACCAAACAACAATGCATACAAGAGCAATGTATGATAGCTATATGCAAATGTCCAGACAAACAAGGCAGCAAATATAGTTATAGCTGTAAACAGGATGGCCGTGTTCAGCTTTCCTAGCCGATCCGCTATCAGACTAATAGTGTTGTTGCATGTGTTGTGCGATTATTAACTAGTTATAACGGTCGCGTTATTAGTTAATTTTCAAAGAAACAATTATACCCTATACAGATAGGACCCAATGTAGCCCCTACGGACATGACAGTAATGAGTGTTGCACCTTGCACCGGGGACAAACCGATAAGTGTCGCATACGCTATTTTTAAGAAAACAGTTAGCAAAGTAAATAGTAAAAGAATGTGCACGGCCTGTGTATACGTTTAATAAGATCATAAAAAAGAGATTCTTACAAGGAAGAAAGATAAAGGGAATGAGGTCAACAGTTGATCGAATGAATCCAACTACAAACCATATCAAGAAGTTCGGGTTGTCGTAGAAAATGCTGAGCTTTGGAATATTATTGGGATAACTGTTGCTACTGTTGTGCCCCTCATAATCTGTCTTTCTGGCCTTCTGACCGTCGTCTTTAATAAGTTGTTGCGGCTTAATGATCTTGCTAGTGGTAGGATTTTCTGTAATGATAAGGCAGCCGATAATATTGAATAGCAGAAAAATGATGTTGAGGATATGATAGGCCCTATGAAAATAGTTCAATAATAAAGAAAAAGTACAAATAGCGTCAGCATCGTCATCAGTGCACAAAACAAACAGAAGCAACTGTCTGTGTAAAGGAAACTGCAGCATGCAGTGGATTCTACCATCGCATGTCCAAACGATCCGATATTTGTGTAATAACACATGGGATAATGATACCAGAAACACCTGTGCTGCTCATGATTATGCCAAATGCTACATTCCTTGACCCTTCATCTTGTGGTGTGTCAAACCACGATGGTATAATCACTACGCTGACCTTTAAGTGCACATCAATATATGAGAATACAAGTTTGTGTAAATGCCATGCTTCTGGTATGAGAAAGAATTTGTATTTGCAGTACATACAGCAAATAGCAATCCGAAACCAGTAGATGCACAAACGCCTAATGACACAAAAATCTGCCAGATCTGATATATGAAAATGGAAGAAGATGAAATAAGAAGAGACAATAGCGACAGAAGACAACCTTAGTACAGAAAGAAGCTCTATAGCAGCATTCCATCATTTTATGCATACCTGGGTAGAGTAAGCAGCCATGACGAGCCCGAAGAATGTCAGCGCAGTCGCAAGAAGAAGGGTTCCTCTAACTCGGATCTTGGAAATAATGGCTCCCGTAGGTGTCACTAAGCCTAGTCCAAGGAACGCAATGGTAGTTCCAATAAGTGTCAACTGCATCCTTGCGTTTCTGTCGTCGCTAAATAATTCTCGCTGGTAATAATCTTGAAAAAGACCTAATAAATCGTTTAAAAGATGCTACTTTAGACTTCTTGAACAGTGAAATAGGGGCAAACAGTAAACGGCTTTTACAACTACATAGCATATAAATATACGCTGTCTGTGGCTATTTTTCTACCCTGTGACGACGCATGTATGTTCATAGACGAAAAAGACTAACCCCTGTTCATATTTTTAGGTCAAATCTTTGCTATTACCATATCGCGCTCTGAAGTAACGCTATGATTTTATGTGTGTACCTACCAGCTATTTGTAGCGCCGTTAAATTCTATTCCTGTCAAAAATACCGCCGCGACAACAAGCCATTTTTTGGATGAAACGGTAGAGAAGGACTCTAGACCGTATACACGAAACCCATTATCCTTCCGCATGGATTCATGGTGCCGACCATCCTTGAATGATGTGTAGGTGTTTCTTCTCTTTCTTCGTGGAGCGTTATGCTGGAATAGCAATGGTGTGTTCACGTCGTTCTGGAAAAGTGCTTGGTCAAGAGAAGCTGTTTTACAAACATATCAAGCATCAAGAAGGGTTTACAAATTAATTAGTCGTGTACAAAGACTCGACTTGGTACATACACAACGGCATAACATGTATGTGCGAAGATATGGGACGTCTCTTTCTATCGGTAATATACATAACACGCAAAACATTTTCTGCTACAGTACCTGTTGTTGTGCTCGTATGTTGGCTAACAGTTATGTCTCGACGATATTTAGTAGCCGTCATTTAAATGTATGTAGAACAATGGAGAAATTGAGAGAGTAGAGAAAAAAGCAAAAGACCGATTTAGTTTATTAAAAGTTTGGGCAATTGCGCTTTTGACGGCTGCACATATGCATTTAAAGGGGACGTAGTATGCATGCGATGTGCAATAGCCCCGTCTGCAGATGACCTCTTGCTTCGCCGAGGTGGCTGGCATACAGGGCCATTCATGAGACTTGTCAGAGTGATTTACATACTAATGACCATAGATATCACTTTGGTCTACTAAACATTTACTACTACCGCTACATAACTCAGTCAACTTTTCATATATTTAACAAAGTAAAAATTTGTCGTACGGCGTATGCCTAAAAACAGTTGGAATTGACTCTGAAGTTCTTTAAAAGGATAGAATACATAGAAACGACTCGCATAGGAGCGAAGTGTATTTGAGGCTCAAATCTACCAAAGAGATGCTGCAGGGGAAGAAACATAGCACCCATATTTTAAAATATGTCAAATAACAACAACGAAGCCATGTTGCATCTGATGCCAACGAGAAGTACAGTGCTGGAAGGCATTTCCGTATGTAATGCTTCCTTTAATGTTGCATATATATAATTAATTTAGATGCTAAAAAAAGCGGGCTGTTATTACCTCAAATTGTTCCATTATGGCTTTGCTACAAGTTTGATCTACAATTATGTGCTATGCAAGTGCTATTATATTTCCGTCTACCCCATCAACCTAACAAGCAGATTGATCACATGGCGTACACCAAATTTCAACCGAGGAGGATTAATCTGTAGTATGTATCTAACCCATGATCATGACTCCGGTAGACCGCGGTGTATGGTTTGTGTGCAGCTCTTAGAGGTATGCGCTAATATGATGATTAACATTTGTCTTTGTATCTTACACGTGTGGGCGCCTCGTTCGACTATCAAGTATACTTGCTTTGGTGCAGAAAACAATTATGAGAAATCACGGGTGGGATACATGCGTCGCGGCACCGAAATCGATATGTCGTCAACTAATCACTATATAAATGAGGTGAAGCTGTCAAGTATAAAGAAGTTGCCTTTATGTGCTTCCATCACAGGGTGAAATCCCCTTAAGCTTAATTCCCAGACGCTGGCACCTTTATCCTGAGAAAACGGCATCTCAAGGTAGTCATGGCTGTTATGTAAGAGCTGTTATATTTGTGACGTACAGTAGCTGATTCTTGTTGTTATTAGGAGAACCAAACACAACAAGCAATAGCAATAGCAACATTTTGGCGATGACTGGTTCATTTACAGCCCCAAGCCGGAAATCGCAAATCGAAGCAGAGCTCACACGCCTCAACAATCTTTACACCGCTTTCCAGATAATCAGCAACGTGCAACTCTCCTCGCGCACCTACAATCTATCAATGATGATATGTTCATCGACGTTGAGCAGCTTCAGCAGCCAAAATCAATCCCTAAAAGCACTCAAAAACCACAAAGCAGCAGCAACAAGCGTGAGCTGATCGCTTTAGAGCATCAAGACTCTCAAAGCTGAAAGAAAGCGAGCACCGGCATTAGTCGTGATGCTGCAGCAATATAGTAAAGTTTTATGCATTAAGATGTATAGCCAATTCTTTATTTAAATTTTTAATATCTATAGGAACGGAAAGATGGAGCCAACAACAACAACAACAACAACAACAACAACAAATGAAGCAAACAACATGGCACTCACCATCCCTCCTCCTCCAAAAATTCGCTTTGTACCTAACCTCTACCTTGTTTGCAAATGGATTCCTCCATCAGCTGTTGAATTGGTGCATAATCCCATGCCAGACGGTAACTGTGGCTTTCGGGCCTTAGCTGTTGAGCTGTATAACACAGAGGAGCGATACGTCGATGTCAAGATCAAGATGCTCGATCAGTACCTCTCTAACGCCAATACGCTTTACCAATACTATGACAAGGGTCGTTTACTTAAAGTACTCGATCCTTATACAAGTGAATGGTTCGTCTCACCTGAATGCAGTCAAATTGCCGCTGATACTTTCAAAACACCAATTGTCATAGATGGCGCACAATCGCATATTTTCCTCCCTTTAACCACCAACTTAGTACACACCAAGCGCACCCACCCTATTGTCCTACAGCTTGTTGGAAACCACTTCATACTCGTTATGACCAAAAAAGACGCAGCTATCCAGTGGTCTGAAATATTCCCTGACGGTCGTGGACCATACAAAAGCATTCGCGATGATCCTTGGTATCCCCTTTTTGAAGATTCTTTTGAACGGTCTATTCAACCGTTTCCCAATTTCACGATTCCTAATGACGAAGAAGTGCATCCCATTCAAGCATCTGAATCTGAGGGCGAAGACTTAACCACCTGTTGTAGCCGAAATAATTAATCAGCTACTTGACACTTGATCCTCTTACTTTTTCGCTACCTTTCTTACTTTCCCTGCCACTTTCTCTTTTTTAATTCTTTTTGCCAACACCTTATACTTAGACTAATAGACGAATCCTGTATCAATTTTCTTTATGCATTCTGCTGATTCTTTTCAGTCAAAAGGGTGTGAGGGGGTGTGCACGAAAGAAATGTCAGTAGGGTGTGTGTAACGGAAATCCTACCAAGGTGTGTCTAGGGGTGTGCATGAGGGGGTGTGCAAATAGACCTGCCCCCAGCACAGCGGCTGACCTTAAAACTCAAAAAAAAATGGGGGGGGGGACTACCAACTTTTATTTTGTGGCTGGAATAAGGGAATTGTCTTCCTTCGTGGCAGCATAGTGGGATCATTAGAAATGATTGTTTTTGGTGATTTGCAGGGTTAGCTGTTCCGAGGTTGATCACAGGTCACGGAAATATGTCCAGTGCAACCACAGTTGAAACACTCAGGGGCTGGACGATCTGGACAATTTTTGATAACGTGATCTTGTGAGTGGCAATAGTGGCAGTAATCTCCCGTGGATTGCAGGGTGACATAGAAGACACGGTTGCGATTGTGCATAGTACCAAGGTCGATAGAATGGGTGAGAAATTCATGTGGCTCGTCATTGTTTGGAATCATGTGGCTCGTCATTGTTTGGAATCATGAGGACGGCGGAACCCGTATCCTTGGAACCAGCCACCCTCCACAGATCTATACAGGCTTAGATGGAGCACATGTCCAAACTGCAAAAGCGATGCTCGAAAGCTCAAGATAACCGGTTTTTAAACCGGTTGGTAAGTGTGAAAGTTTCAATTTCGTAAGTTGTTGTTCAGGGGGTAATGATCGCAGAGCACGGTAGTGATAGCCAGCTACGTCAATGCCCTTTTCGATAGCAGTTTGGCACATCTGTTCATCTGTGAATGTCATTTCGTAGAGTACTTGTTTTCTTGTCACAGTGAGGAAGTAGGCCAACCCCAACATCCCAGTCTAGAAAGAGCTCTCTAGCAGCGCGAAAGAACTTGACTTCCTTGACAGAGTTGACCGTAGTTTCAAAGATAACGCTGAACTCTTCGGTTCCGCGACGAAGTAGGTGAGATTCAATGGTTCCAGCGTCGGCTGTCAGCTGTCTAAGAGTATCTCAGACAGTGGATGAAGCTTGTTCAGTCAAGGACGCTGACATTTGACCATAGTGAACTCGCAAACGATTTGACATAAGGCGTCAGCGTAAGTGGGTTTAGGTGAAGTAGTGGTTGAGTTGTTGACATTGTTGGTTTGGTTCTACGAGTTTCTGACATTGATTAGGGTGCTACTAGAAGTAACCCCCTTCAGGTTTGGTGAAGAAGTGGGAAGAAACCATGAAACGATCAAAATATGATCAATACCAGGATTGTTCTATTATTATCTGTCTTCGTACCTTGCCATCGGCATTGGGTTGTAGTGAGTTCAGCCATCCAACCCACTGAATCCTCATATACGCCTGCCTTAGCTTAGGAGACAAACATTATATCAAAGCCCCTGAGCGCTTCATAGTGATTTACCAACGTCATACGACGTTGTCTTTTTGGAAAGAGCAAGTATCGTTTTGTGTATTTTTTTTGCAAGGGAATATACTACATGTTGGGGTGGGATAAATCATACTACTACGGCTTCGTTCTCTTCTGATATCTAGCAAATGCATTTCGCAACGTGACATGATTGTTATAGTCGAAAAGTCCTTTCTCCTTTCCTTCCGCCAAGCATGTCACCCAATCCATTCTCTCATATCCTTCTGCAAGTCTCTTCTCCTTGAAGCTTGCAACAAACTCTATGCCTTGATTGTGCCTTGAGGACGAGGTGGTATTTGCTTCTTCTTGTTCTACCGCGTCTGGTGCAGGAGGGGCTGTGGAGGAGCTTGCTGTGGGCACAGTGAATTGTTCTTACAACTCCTTGTTGCGATCTTTCGCCCAGCCAATCGCGGTCTCCAAGGTGCTCAATGATGCACCTTGAGCTACCAACTGTTCTAGATGTTGGTACTCTCTGTGCTGCAATACAAACGAATCCTTGAGTGTGTCGATGGGATGCTCCTGGGATCCTGCAAGACTGCTGATATATTGTGAAGCGAGGTTGTACAGCATTTTTATAGTGGTATCTCCACTGCAGCGTGCATCAATCACTGATGGAGCATTGTCGACCAGGGACATGCACAGAGCGATGAACGGGTTTCGCAGAATCACTGTGTTGCATTCTTCGAGACTCTGTTTGGACGCGATCAGGCATTTTGCACTGCGCAGGAGTGGGCAAATAACACAGTAGACAAGTGGGTTATTTTCGAAAATATCAGGTTAGGGGAAAGCATACAGGCCTGTAAGACATGTCTGGGCTTAATAACAGTAATTTTGAATAGAAAAGTAACAACCCATAAAAATACCCAAGAGTACTTACGGCTTTCTACGCACACTGCTGACAGGGTACGTCATCCTCACTATATAGGTAATACATAAAGGTCAGAGGGATGTAAGTCGTTGATAAGAAATTGTCGTCGTGCCAGGTGCACTTACCCAGGTGAAGGCGCCGCCAGGCAACGCAGGACTCAACCAAAGCCCTGCTCTTTAATAGTGGGCTATGCAACCGATTATAATAAAGAAGAAATTTATCAGAACTGACAATTCTCACACGAATGACAACTTCTCACACAGCTTCACAGCATAAAAGCACAACTCACATGACGCTACCCTATGTAGGTCAGTGCCTGAGAAAGAGCGAGAGAGAGAGAGAGACAGAGCAAGCAGAGCGAGAGAGACAGAGAGAGCAAGAGAGTGAGAGAGACAAAACTTTAAAGAAAAAATCGAAAAGAATGTTAGACCAGGTTGTAAATAAAGAATCACTCGTCGTGACGATCAAACAGCAACTGCTGTGACAGAATGTTAATGAATGCATACGTACAAAAGGCCAAAAACAAAAGAAAATGATGCAGGACAAGCGCGTTGAAAGTTACGAAGAAAAGCCAACGTCTCGATGAGTCGTGCAGTATGCTACTTTTATAACCTTTTTGATCATATCAATCACATGGTTTCACTAGTGTCGTCAGCAGCTTGTTTCATCAATGACTACTGGTAAATAGAGAATGGACTCCTTTTTATCGCACACAAAGGGATCCTTTTATCTTTAACACTGCTTCTTTTGACAAAGCATACTACTACTTAGTCTACCATCCAAACATTCTATCAGTGATCAAACAAAACGTAAGTGATAAATTGTGTATCAGTTATGCGCAAATTCAACGGCTACTGAAAGGACACAGTTGGAGAAACCAAATGGAACACATTGGTCTGAGTTGCATCGTCTTCCATACTTTGATCCCGTTTCCCAGACAATAGTTGACTGTATGCACAACATGTTCTGTGGGACAGCCGAGCGCATAGCCACCATATGGAAAGATGACGGAACCTTGACCAAGGAGCATTTGACCGATATAGAGAGTTGCCTCGAGAAGATGGTGGTGCCCCCATCATACAGCATCGCTCACGGCTGTATTGCGACTAGATTTGCTGGAATGACGTTGGATGAATGGAGGTCGTGGACTGTTGCACTCTCGCTGTTGTTGTTAAAGGGAAGATTGCTTGGAGAAAAAATGACACACTGGTTGCTCTTTGTCAAGGCAGCACGTCTCCTTAGCAAGCCACCCATCACCATCGCTGAAAACGAGGAAGCCTACCAACTGCTGCTCAAATTTGGCTGCGACCTCTCAAGGTTGTACTCTAGAGATCAAGTCACGCCAAATATGCATTTGCATATTCACCTTCGCGACATGGTACTCAATTTTGGCAGCTGCTATAACATGTGGGTATTCAGCTTTGAGCGGTTCAACAAGATCATTAAGAACCAGCACACCAATCAAAAAGACCGTTTCGAGCTCACTTACATAAAGAAGTTCTTGAGTGTCGTGTTCGCTGATAACATGGTCCAACGAGTCGTGGTCGAGCGGTGCGGCAACAGCACGATTGCCAGACAGATTGCTGAGCTATTGCTGCCACAATCAGAAGCCATGCAAGAGCATTACGATTGTCAGCTGTTCTTGGATCAATCGGATTTCGACTATGCCGCGGGAGTAAGCGTAGTTAGTTGGGAGCCGCTGCTACCATCATGTCTTCCCCTCAAGACGGGCAAAAAGGTGTACATGGATACGCGCCACTACCACTGTCTTGTCGAGTAATACCAATCAATGTTTCCAGATATGAATTTTGTGTCACTCGCCAGCACTAGTGGTAATCAGGTCAGCAATTACCTCTACAAATTTGCAAAAGTCAATCTCCTGGGCTAAACGTTCATTTCCAAAATGTCTTGCCACATCAACACCAGTACTTATGTCTGAGTCGTTTGCGTAAGTACTCAGTCTCATACTGAAGCGATCGTTCGTCCTGGGCGCATTCTATATTTCTTTGTCTACAACCTATGCAATCCCACCAACAGTAATTTCTGCCAGTTCGTTTTTGCTTTTGTTGAGTACCTACGACCAAATACGCAAGTCTTTGAGTCGTTTAGGATGCTAGGCATGGACGTCTATCATTTAAAAATCGAACCGTATATGTGGCAGTGTGCTGTTCTTTTGGGGAGGCTCCATTCCGGCGTTGTTGTTACCCCTATTCAAATAGACAATAGCTGTGCTCTTACATATTTACCACGAAAAATAAAAGTAATCTACTCTTAAAAGCATAATACCTTAGGTCAGGTCTTAGTCTTTTTCTTTTTTGGCTTCACGCTGCTGTAGTTGTAATAGAGAATAAAATAAAATACAAGTTTTGAATTATAAAAATTGCTTCAGATATAAAAAGCATTTTGAAAGAATCTAATGCAACGGTGGATCAAGAAACTTGTAGATGGTCAAATAAATAAAAATGTTGAAGAATCTGATTTAGTAATTGGCACAAAAAAAAAAAAAGGAGAAGAAAGCAAAGTGGTGGAGACAAGCATAGTGGCAGTAAAAGTCTCAGAGTAGGAAGAAGCATAGCAGTCCAGGTGGTGTAAAAAAGGGGTCATCCTAGATGGTTTTGGGGGAGAAGGATTTTAGTAGGGGAGCCAATTTTATCCATTTGCTGCATCACAGCTCTGAAAGCGCTCTGAAAGCGCTCTGAAAGAAAATTCTCACTGAAAGCACACTGAAAGCACATTGAAAGAAAAATTTCAGAGTACACTGAAATCACTCTGAAATCGAATTTTAACTCGTAAGGCCGAAAACCCTTACACACAACACGACATTTTGCCACGACATTCAAGAACGCGTGCATGGTTGAGTGGTACAATTTCTGCCTTCCAAGCAGAAGGCCGGGGTTCGATTCCCCGTGCACGCATTTTGACGACTGTCGTGTTATAGTTGTCAAATTTTTTTGGCAGATGTTGACTTAAAAAGAATTGGCCTTTAATTATTCTGTTCTGGCAACGCAACACTTTTGCCAGACCACAACAGAATACCGCCTCGCTAGAATTCGTTGACAAAACACAAACAACCATACAAGCAACGAGTAAAAGGTAGGATGTGACAGTATATATATTATTACTGTATATGGCAAACACTGAGGTAGTTTTTAAAAAAAGATTATAAATAGCAATGCTAGCACAAGCAATAAAAGTATCTTCGAATAACCCTTTGTTTTAATCCTTTCTCATTGGCTACAGATCTACCTGCCAAAAAGCGACTTGACAATTAGTAGCAGAAGAACGCTTTATTATGCAAAAACAGAATAAAGAAGATACTTAGTTTCAACTTACCAAACACAAGGATGGAAAACGAGCCTATAACAGCTATTCTCCAGCTGTTGAGGGCACTGTTGGAAAACCAAGGCAGATAAGATGCAGCTCCAATCTTTTGAGCTCGTATATATGAGCCTGACACGTATCATAGTGACTGCAGTCTGGATGCTGCACTGAATTAGGTTACGGCAGTCGAACGATACCTTAGTATAGCCAAGCTAGGTGAACATAAATGGGTCACATATGCAGTTACATTGTTGTGTGGTTAAGTGGAAACATAGTGGCGACAATAAGAAGCATGAGTGACGATTGACGAATGGTGTGAATTCAGGAAAAGATTGCTGGCAACTTTCAATCTGCCAAATACATCATAATTAGCTTGAAATCAACTTGCTGCAGGAGTTCAAGCAGGAACAGTAGCAGCTTATGTATTGCAGTTTCAGGCAGTATGGTCGTCTATACCAACTATGTCAGACAAGGAAGCACTTGATTGATTCCCATGTGGCTTGCTTCTAACCATCAATATGTAAGTATTGACTTGTTTTCCATCATTGACCAATGAAGCGATGAAACTGGCACTGGCTGTTGAGGGTGCACAGCAAACAGGGCAGGCAGTATTACAGCAAACACAAGGTCTCCTAGAAACCTAATCCAGTTTTCAACAGCAACAATTGATGCACCAGCTAAATACACAACAACAGCAGCTCATGCCTGAGTACCTGCACTCGTCAGGCATGGTGCCTATAGATCTTGATGCTGTATATACAAGGCCCTCCTCCGAGGGATGGCAAGGTCCTCGTTGTAGTACCAACAATTGGCGTCAATAAGGATTTTGAAGTAGCAGTGATGACAATAAGGATTGTTACAACTGTGGCGGTTGGGCCATATCTCGCAAAACTGTCTGTCTCCTCGTCATAACAGACAGCAACAAGGTCGCTATACAAGCTAGAGAAAAGGCTAAGTGTGTCGGGATCGCGCTCATCTCCATCTTTAAACACCGTCCAAACTGAGTCTGTGCCAGTCCCTGAGGCCAAATTGATTGATCTATCTCAAGATCAGACCCATGATACGCAATTACTGCAGCATACACTACTAGAGGACAGCTAGTACTTTGATTACTTATTATTAATAAAAGAAACCAAGTTGCCCCTATACTCAATGTTATGCAATAGTCATTCTATGAAGGTGCTGATTGATTCTGGTGCTACTGGTTCTTATGTTGCACTAAGAATTGCCGCAGGGCTGTCTACCCGCGCAGTAGCTGGAGAGGAGGTCGAAACCACCAGTGGTCATATGCTGTCGATTTCCAATCAAGCTACACTGCCACTGAACGCTCAAGGCTATGAGCATCCAGCAGACACGCTTATATACTCGATACCAAGTTCGACGTTATTCTCGGCCGCGATTGGCTCAAGACCATATAAGCAGTGCCAGATTGGGAACAAGACACCTA